TCTCTTTTGTATAAAAAAAATGATCCACTCTCCCTTGATAACTATAGACCTATCACATTATTAAATTATGATGTTAAATTATTAGCCTATGCCTTAGCGCAAAGATTAAAATCAGTACTTCCAAAAATAATTCACTCTGATCAAAAAGGTTACATAAAAAACAGATACATAGGATTTAATATTAGACAAATCCAAGACATCATTGATTATTCTGAAAAATTTAAAGTAGATGGTGCAATTTTATTTTTAGACTTTACTAAAGCTTTCGACTCACTGGAGTGGTGTTTTATGTTTGAATCTTTAAAAAAATTTGGTTTTAAAAAGGAATTCATTAAATGGGTTGAAACTATGTATACAGATATAAAAGGGTGTATTTTAAATAATGGATGGGTGTCTGCCCCCTTTAATACATTCTGTGGGATTAGACAAGGGTGTCCGTTATCCTCGTTAATTTTCGTTTTATCTGTTGAAATAATGGCAATTAAATTAAGGGAAAATAACAAACTAAAAGGATTTGAAATCAAATTAGATGGAAAATCTTGCTCGCTAAAAATATGTCAGTTGGCAGACGATACTCAATTGTTTTTAAAAACACGCAAAGAAATAAGTATAGCCCTTAACATTATTGAAACTTTTGGAAGCCTTTCTGGACTTAAATTGAATAGAAATAAAACAGAAGGTTTGTGGCTTGGGAAACTTAAACATTCAAAAGATAAATTTGAAAATATAAACTGGAAACAAGACCACATTAAAAGTCTAGGAATATATTTTGGATACAATTATCAAGAATGTCATAAATTAAATACAGAAAAGCAAATAGACAAATGTGAAAAATTAATTCAAGGATGGAACAAACGAAACTTAACATTAATAGGAAAGATAACTGTAGTTAAGTCTTTAATTTTACCAAACCTAACATACATTGCATCAAGTATGATAATAACACAGGAAATAAAGCAAAAGTTCAAGAATTTAATATATAATTTTATATGGAGTGGAAAAAAAGATAAAGTTAAACGTACTATATTATGTAAACCATATCTTGAGGGAGGATTACAAATGATTGATTTAGACTGCTATCTTAAATCATTACAAATCAGATGGGTTTTAAAACTAATCAAAAAGGAAAATGATAACTGGAAAATTATTCCAAGATTTTACCTTGATAAATTTGGGAAAGATTTTCTTTTATTCTGAATGAATTTAACAAATGTTAATTTGCTTAATAAAATAGATTATAAATCTTTACCTGAATTCTATAAACAATTAATTAAAACATGGGTAGAAATAAAAGGAGGCCAAACAATCATACCAAGAAACTTTCTTCAGGTTAGAAAACAACTTATATGGGGAAATCATCTTATCAAAGAAAATGGGAAATGTTTGTTCTTTCAAAACTGGATTAATAGTAATATTTTGTACATCAATAATATATTAGATGAAAACGGATACATCTCATCAGAAACTGTACTCAAAAATTTAAAGAATAAACAAGATTGGATTAGAGAATTTTCATTAGTTAAAAAAGCTATACCAAAGCACTGGCAAAATATTTTAAAACAAGAAAGCTCTTACAAAACTGTTGTCAATATAAAAACATCAGTGAAGTTAAATATACTACTAAAACATGAAATTTCACCAGATATGAGTAACAAAGAAGTATATACTTTCTTGCAAAGTCAATTTACACATGATAAACCGACAGGAGTTTTAATGTGGGAAAGAATTCTTCATAAAAAAATGACTACAAAATTGAAGTCCACATTTAACTTTATTTTTAACTACCTTGAAAACAACAAATTAAAAATGTTTAAATGGAAAATAATACATTATATATTAGCCTGTAATGAATTACTTTATAAATGGAAAATAGTACCAAGTGGTTTGTGCTTCTATTGTAAGCAACATGATGATTATAAACACTTCTTTTTTTCCTGTTCATATAATGTTCATTATTGGCATAAAGTTGACCAGCTATTAGCATTTTTAAAAATTGATAAGCATATACTTAGTCTTGAAAGTTTAGTAACTGGCTATAAAATTGATGATGAAGCTTATTTTGATATGAACTATCTATTAACTATAATTTTCTTTTCCATCTATAAAGCATATTATATGTCTGACAAGAAAGATAAGGTCATTGATATCTTCAAAATCTTCAAAAATGAAATCTGGGACATTATTAACATAAATAAAATCAGAAGCAAAAAAAACAAGAAAATAATACTTAAAACAAGGGAATATTTCGAATTCCTTTAAATAAAATGACAATTATTAGATACAAGTCTTAGCTGTGACCTCATTAATACATGACTGCAAATGTGTCCAGTCAATTTGTGTGCATTAACTGAAATTCGCAATTTTACTCTTTTATAATTTATTACAGCTACACTGAATTCGAATTGTTATTAAATATGTTTATTCCTGTTCACAATGCAAAATTATAATGAGCAGGAGAGCGAGCAGAATACACAACACAATGCAACGTTACTGCATACATGTATAATTTGAAGACCACGTGTACTTTCGATCAACTTTCGATCTTCGGCTTTATCATAGAAATCAACATTTACTGGTAAAAAATAATGTGTGAAAAAAAAAACATTTTTACCTCATCATCCAAGACTTCTTATATAATTCAGTGTTGTAAACAAAACAAAAAGTTTTAAGTTCAAAATTCTATTGTCGACTGAAGAGTCATGCTATCAGTATCAAAGATCAATACATCATCAATTTCGCGGTTCAGTGAAGCTTTGATAAAAAAATCATATACAGTATAGGTTAAGAAACGTACCGTATTCCGGTAAAAAAAACAAAAATTATGTAGAATTGTTCTAATGTATTGATCTGTATTAATATAACTTACTTTATAGATATACTTTATTGAATATCTTTCCCTAGATATTCAATAACTAATTTGAAGGGATACTTAATTGAAGCTGTAGATTGAGTAAATTGTTAACAGCAAAGGTGCAATAAAATTGATTAATTAAAAAAAAAAAAAGAACTTAGGGTAAATTTGAACAATTCAACACAAACAGCGTAAAGAATTGAAAATACACTATAAGAGAATGAAAAATAAAAGAATTAACGTATAAACCAGCACATGCATTTCCAGACATAATTTGCATAAGCAAGGGTTTGTATTTTCTTATGACATTACAAGTTTACATGTTACTCATCTGCATCGTACACTAAAGAAAGATAACAAAATTTGTTAAACGTTTAGTAGTGTTTACTAGCGATGACGTCATTCAACAGTAATTCGTTAATTAAGATCAAGAGTACATCGAAAACTGTATGAGATAAGTTCTTTCATATTCGGCGATTGATTCTTAAATGCACATAGAGGGAGACAAATTAAGTAGTGTTGAAGAGGATTGACGTCATTTAGCAAAGTTATTAAGAGTTGTTCCCTTTAAAAGGCATACATCAGTAGGTATTACACCTTTTACCTAATAGAACAAGGATATGTAATGCTCAAGTACAATAACATCTTTATTGAACCTGGTAAAACATTCCGTTTTCAGTAAATTTAAATAGTAGTAGGGTCTTCTAAGAGTTACATCTTTAAATTCAATAAAAAGTGATGATTTGAATAATGCCGATAACTTTCAGCTCAAAACGAATTGTCGTTTTGTCTTTTCAGTTACCGTGCGGTGAAAGCCAGAAAAGATTTTACACCAATCAAAGCTAATTATTGTTTATCGAATGGAAGGTATGATATATTTGATTTCTCTTTATAGTTGCAGGTAATATTTCAGTGTTTGTAGGATCTGATGGTCGAGTACTTTTGTACAACGCAGATACATATAATACTTCATCAATATGTTCCTATAATTGGAACGATCAAGATGCTACAGTTGTATGCAAGCAAACTGGCATGGGAGATATTGGTAAAGCAACATATATCGATCGGGATTACAATTTCAGTAGGAGTATGTTTAACGTTTACTGCACAGGTAACGAAACCGATCTATCAGAGTGTACATATGACACCAGTGACAGTATGGGAATGTGTGATTATGTTCAAGATGCTGGAGTTCATTGCATCGATACAGGTATGTTTTCGTGATAAGTGGTACATGTATCTAAACATGACCAATGCCATTATGAATATAAGATTTACAGGCACGAACTTGTTGCTAAAATTTCCGTTGTTCAATTCAAAACCATAAAAAGAAAAACATATTGGAAAAAAGAAGCATCTATCAGTAGGTGTACCACCTTTTAATTCCGTGTATAAGAAAAAAAGCCACATACAATGCTCAAGTACAATAATTAAATATATTTCATTTCGTTTGAAATTGGGGTTTTGCCGTTTGCTATTTGTAGGACTTATATATAGATGGGATCTAGTATAACTAGTTCTGCAACAGTATTTACGATTTATAAAATTTAATGTTAGGTGCATAAGGCACGAGAAAAGTTTTGGGCGGTTTCTACGGGTAGGTTTTTATGCTACTATATAAAGTTTGGCATTTACATGTATTAGTATCGAAGGTGCTCGCAGTTACGTCGAATCGAAGATAGTCACATGATCATATATACAGTTGCTGCTACGTTAATTACGTGTAATTATAATGTGTTTGAAAGGGAAAAAACTGTACAATTTTAAAAATAAAAAGTATATCGTATGAAAAAATAATATGTTACTGCGAGAAACTAATGCTATTTCTGCGTTTGTCTTGTTTATATCCAATTGAATTAAGAGTAGATATACTTTAAATTCAGACAGAAGGGCGAGGGGGAATTTGAAGATAGTAAAATATTAAGTTTTCAGTTTATTCAATTAGTAGTCGGGTATACTTACTTTTACATGTTTAAATTCAATAAAGAGTGATGATTTGAGTAGTGCTGAAAATTTTTCAGCTCAAAACGAATTGTCATTTTGTCTTTTCAGTTATCGTGCGGTGATAGCCAGAAAAGATTTTACACTAAATAAAGCTAATTATTGTTTATCGAATGGAAGGTATAATATATTTGATTTCTCTTTATAGTTGCAGGTAATATTTCAGTGTTTGTTGGATCTGATGGTCGAGTACTTTTGTACAACGCATATACTTATAATACTTCATCAATATGTTCCTACAATTGGAACGATCAAGATGCTACAGTTGTATGCAAGCAAACTGGCATGGGAGATATTGGTAAAGCAACATATATCGATCGGGATTACAATTTCAGTAGGAGTATGTTTAACGTTTACTGCACAGGTAATGAAACCGATCTATCAGAGTGTACATATGACACCAGTGACAGTGTGGGAATGTGTGATTATGTGCAAGATGCTGGAGTTCATTGCATCGATACAGGTATGTTTTCTTGATGAGTGGTATCTAAATATTAACGATGTTTATAAGAGTTACATAGCTGAAGTTGTTACTAAAATATATGTTGTTCGGATTAACAGAATCATTACAAAAGCCATTGTACTGATCATTTTGAGTCCTTGTTAACACAAATAGAAAATCCAATGCAATGAAATCTATAGTTTTCCGGGTATAGGATACATTTGTAATACGGATATATTAAATTGTAAGCATATTTCAATTACCAAAGATAAATACCGCAATGTAAAGTCTATTGTTACAATCATAAATTTTCGTCGCTGAGGATCAGAAAATACACGATCATAATGTTTCTTGTAGATCAGACCCAATTGGTTTTGGGACCGGATGGTCGAATACTCTTTTATAACACTCAGACAGGAGATATATCAACAGTATGTTCGTACATGTGGAATGATCAAGGTGCTGACGTTGTTTGTAGACAACTGGGGATGGGAGACAGTGGTTCAGCAGTCTATCTTCCAAGAGATCACAACTATACAAGAAATATGTATAGCGTAGAATGCATGGGAGGCGAAAAGAACATGTATGACTGTAACTACCAGGTGACTGACTACTCCGGGTCATGTGAATATGTGTCTGATGCTGGTGTTGAGTGTGCTTCCCAAGGTATGTTATACTTGAATGTTAAAAGGAAGAATTTTCTTCCGACAATACACTATGTTATTAAGAACTTAGGGCAAATATAGAGCCACCATCCTCTATCGTGATCAGCCTAAAAACAACTTTCAAAATAAAAAATGTTCGAAATGTCTGAAAGAAGGTCACCAAACAAAAGATTGTACCAATGATTGGGTATGCAGATCATGTGGACAAGAAGGACACAAACAAAATGCCTGTACCAAGGATACTTTCTCAGACGTCCCCGAACAATCAGATAAAGAAAACAATGAAACAAGTGATGCGGATGATGAAACTTCTGAATCTGAAACTGGCACTGATGCAACACAAATATCCGTCCAAACCAACAATGATGTAACATGTGAAAGTGCATCAGCTACCGGAGTGAGCGGTCATGAAGGCGCATCATCTACTGAACGTGAAGGTGCATCAACTACTGGATGTGAAGATGACAATGGACAGTCGCAATCTATTATCAATCCTGTAGCTGATCCACAAAAACGAAAGAAAATAAAAAAAAAAGAACAGTAATAAAAAGGGTGATCCCAGTCAAGCTCAAATAACCTCATTCATGTCCGGTAATCAGAGCACACAAGAATCAACCAAAAAATCTCAAACTCCATCAAAACAACCTGTTAGTATTACATTTCTGAAGTCCCCAGTAACACCAACTGAGAAGCTTCACGACAAAGAGAGTGATTCTACTGCCAAGAGGTCCAAAACAACTGATACCTTATTATATACATACATGTAGTTAATTTACCTGTGTTTGTATGAGAATAAAAAACACAACAATATGAATATAATGATGTATTAAATTAATATTTTATTATCATTACAGGTATCATTTAACCACATTTAAAAAATTAATAGACCATAAAACTATAAGTCATCATTTAATTCTATATCACTCAATTATCAGTCTATATAATCACAACTAAATATCTCCTCTCTTATTAGTAATTTACAATCCTTTTGTAACTATGTACAATTTCTCACGTCCAGTGGTAAGCAGCGTGTGCACAATCTCAACATCTTTAGATCTTTTTTTTATTATTAAAATTCTTTGTGTCTTTTTTTATCACTTATTGCAAAGCTGCACATGTACATTCACTTCACATATATGTTTTCAGAAAGCTTGTCGGAAACTAACTCTTTCCTATATAATTGTAATAAATCCTTCAATAGTTTTGGTTAAAGCGGATATGGGATTATCATCTGTGAATCCATACACCAAACCTCAAAAGGATAAAGTACACCTACAAAAATCAAAACATAGATCGATTATTATAATTGACACTAAAACATTCATAAGTCATACAATACAAATATTGATCATAAACATACTAGTATTTCACTTAACTTATCAAGTAGCCAACAATACTATGCAATTTCAAGTCACATTGTTGACCCAATTCACGACCTATATATTGAGGTCAGTAACTGATATATTGTGTAATGTTTGCACATTAATAATCATGATAATTATGGTTGTATATAGATGTACATATATAAAGAATTTAATACTGATAAAAAATGTCATACAAAAAAAAACCAACAAAGCAAGGATAAAGATAAAATCTTAAATTCAAATTCATGTGGATTTACAGGTTCAACTTACTTTCAAACTGAACAAAACTCCTTAATTATACTAGCTCACCTTCTTAATAATAATACAATATGATACATAAAAAACTGTATCCATGTCCGCACCGTAAATACCAACGGGTTACAAAAATCTGAAAAAAGAAACAGAATTATTGAATGGGCTAATCAACAAAAATGTAATATAGTATTCCTACAAGAAACTCATTTTACTTACACCTTAGAATCAAAGTTAAAACAAGAATTCAAAGGTGAATTAATTTTAAATAATGGATTAAGTAATGCAAGAGGGGTGGCTATATGGATAAAAAGCAGATTAAACTACAAGCTTATTGACAAATATAAAGACTCAGAAGGTAGATTCATACTAGTTAATATAGAAATAGATGACAATATATACACCTTAGTGAACCTATATGCACCTAATAATTGTAAAACAAGAAATACTTTTTTTAAATCAGTAAAACAATTAATTGAAGATCATAGTATTGGCCAGTTAATAATTGGGGGTGACTTCAATGACATATTATCTATAAAAGATACCAAGAAAAAATTAGGAAATAAAAAATTTGATAAACCAGTTCATAACCTCAAGACATTGATTAAGAATCTAAAACTAACCGATGTCTGGAGAGGCAAAAACATAAATAAAACCCAATTTACCTGGAGAAGAAAAAACTTATCAGAATCTACAAGAATTGATTATTTTTTAGTAAGTGATAAAGTTAATAAAAATTGCATTTCATGCGATATAAGACCAATAGTACTTCAACACACTGATCATTACGCCGTTTCATTAAAAATCAACATAAATAGAAACTCAAAAGGGCGAGGTTACTGGAAATTAAACAGTAGCATCCTAGATGATAAACAGTATCAAAAAATTATTTCAAAGTTGATTAATACATATAAAACAAAAGCAGAAACATCTCTAAACCTAGATATTTTATGGGATAATTTTAAAGTTGAGGTAAGGGATTATACCATTCAATACTGTAAATTAAAAGCAAATATTAAAAAAGATAATATTGAAATTTTATAAAACACATTAAAAACATTATCTGCTGAAATTGATTGTGACAGCAATAAACATGAGAGGAAAATTAACCTAAAAGAAAATATAGAAAAACAATTAGCAAGCTTATATAATAAAAAAATTAAAGGAAATCAAATAAGATCACGTGTGAAATGGCTAGAAGAAGGGGAGAAAAACACATCCTTTTTTCTTGGCCTAGAAAAAACAAGGCAAAGTAAAAAAACTATAACTCAACTGTATGATGAAAATAAACAGGTAACATATGACCAAAACAAAATAATAAATCTAGAAGTTAATTATTATACTAAATTATATACTTCAACAAAACCTGACACAGAAGAGGTAAGAAAGCACTTTGAAGCTATTAAAGAATGTAAAAAAATTAATGAAAATGAAAGCAATATATGTGAAGGAAAAATTACTATAAGTGAATGCACAGAGGCTATATTTAAAATGAAACTGAACAAAGCCCCAGGTTTGGACGGACTAAATGTTGAGTTTTATAGAAAATTCTGGGAACAAATTAAAGATTTGATAGTACCCGTTTTCAATTATTGCTTTAAAAAAGGTGAATTAACCAACTCCCAAAAAATTGGAGCTATATCTCTTTTGTATAAAAAAAATGATCCACTCTCCCTTGATAACTATAGACCTATCACATTATTAAATTATGATGTTAAATTATTAGCCTATGCCTTAGCGCAAAGATTAAAATCAGTACTTCCAAAAATAATTCACTCTGATCAAAAAGGTTACATAAAAAACAGATACATAGGATTTAATATTAGACAAATCCAAGACATCATTGATTATTCTGAAAAATTTAAAGTAGATGGTGCAATTTTATTTTTAGACTTTACTAAAGCTTTCGACTCACTGGAGTGGTGTTTTATGTTTGAATCTTTAAAAAAATTTGGTTTTAAAAAGGAATTCATTAAATGGGTTGAAACTATGTATACAGATATAAAAGGGTGTATTTTAAATAATGGATGGGTGTCTGCCCCCTTTAATACATTCTGTGGGATTAGACAAGGGTGTCCGTTATCCTCGTTAATTTTCGTTTTATCTGTTGAAATAATGGCAATTAAATTAAGGGAAAATAACAAACTAAAAGGATTTGAAATCAAATTAGATGGAAAATCTTGCTCGCTAAAAATATGTCAGTTGGCAGACGATACTCAATTGTTTTTAAAAACACGCAAAGAAATAAGTATAGCCATTAACATTATTGAAACTTTTGGAAGCCTTTCTGGACTTAAATTGATTTAGAAATAAAACAGAAGGTTTGTGGCTTGGGAAACTTAAACATTCAAAAGATAAATTTGAAAATATAAACTGGAAACAAGACCACATTAAAAGTCTAGGAATATATTTTGGATACAATTATCAAGAATGTCATAAATTAAATACAGAAAAGCAAATAGACAAATGTGAAAAATTAATTCAAGGATGGAACAAACGAAACTTAACATTAATAGGAAAGATAACTGTAGTTAAGTCTTTAATTTTACCAAACCTAACATACATTGCATCAAGTATGATAATAACACAGGAAATAAAGCAAAAGTTCAAGAATTTAATATATAATTTTATATGGAGTGGAAAAAAAGATAAAGTTAAACGTACTATATTATATAAACCATATCTTGAGGGAGGATTACAAATGATTGATTTAGACTGCTATCTTAAATCATTACAAATCAGATGGGTTTTAAAACTAATCAAAAAGGAAAATGATAACTGGAAAATTATTCCAAGATTTTACCTTGATAAATTTGGGAAAGATTTTCTTTTATTCAGAATGAATTTAACAAATGTTAATTTGCTTAATAAAATAGATTTAAATCTTTACCTGAATTCTATAAACAATTAATTAAAACATGGGTAGAAATAAAAGGAGGCCAAACAATCATACCAAGAAACTTTCTTCAGGTTAGAAAACAACTTATATGGGGAAATCATCTTATCAAAGAAAATGGGAAATGTTTGTTCTTTCAAAACTGGATTAATAGTAATATTTTGTACATCAATAATATATTAGATGAAAACGGATACATCTCATCAGAAACTGTACTCAAAAATTTAAAGAATAAACAAGATTGGATTAGAGAATTTTCATTAGTTAAAAAAGCTATACCAAAGCACTGGCAAAATATTTTAAAACAAGGAAGCTCTTACAAAACTGTTGTCAATATAAAAACATCAGTGAAGTTAAATATACTACTAAAACATGAAATTTCACCAGATATGAGTAACAAAGAAGTATATACTTTCTTGCAAAGTCAATTTACACATGATAAACCGACAGGAGTTTTAATGTGGGAAAGAATTCTTCATAAAAAAATGACTACAAAATTGAAGTCCACATTTAACTTTATTTTTAACTACCTTGAAAACAACAAATTAAAAATGTTTAAATGGAAAATAATACATTATATATTAGCCTGTAATGAATTACTTTATAAATGGAAAATAGTACCAAGTGGTTTGTGCTTCTATTGTAAGCAACATGATGATTATAAACACTTCTTTTTTTCCTGTTCATATAATGTTCATTATTGGCATAAAGTTGACCAGCTATTAGCATTTTTAAAAATTGATAAGCATATACTTAGTCTTGAAAGTTTAGTAACTGGCTATAACATTGATGATGAAGCTTATTTTGATATGAACTATCTATTAACTATAATTTTCTTTTCCATCTATAAAGCATATTATATGTCTGACAAGAAAGATAAGGTCATTGATATCTTCAAAATCTTCAAAAATGAAATCTGGGACATTATTAACATAAATAAAATCAGAAGCAAAATAAACAAGAAAATAATACTTAAAACAAGGGAATATTTCGAATTCCTTTAAATAAAATGACAATTATTAGATACAAGTCTTAGCTGTGACCTCATTAATACATGACTGCAAATGTGTCCAGTCAATTTGTGTGCATTAACTGAAATTCGCAATTTTACTCTTTTATAATTTATTACAGCTACACTGAATTCGAATTGTTATTAAATATGTTTATTCCTGTTCACAATGCAAAATTATAATGAGCAGGAGAGCGAGCAGAATACACAACACAATGCAACGTTACTGCATACATGTATAATTTGAAGACCACGTGTACTTTCGATCAACTTTCGATCTTCGGCTTTATCATAGAAATCAACATTTACTGGTAAAAAATAATGTGTGAAAAAAAAAACATTTTTACCTCATCATCCAAGACTTCTTATATAATTCAGTGTTGTAAACAAAACAAAAAGTTTTAAGTTCAAAATTCTATTGTCGACTGAAGAGTCATGCTATCAGTATCAAAGATCAATACATCATTAATTTCGCGGTTCAGTGAAGCTTTGATAAAAAAATCATATACAGTATAGGTTAAGAAACGTACCGTATTCCGGTAAAAAAAACAAAAATTATGTAGAATTGTTCTAATGTATTGATCTGTATTAATATAACTTACTTTATAGATATACTTTATTGAATATCTTTCCCTAGATATTCAATAACTAATTTGAAGGGATACTTAATTGAAGCTGTAGATTGAGTAAATTGTTAACAGCAAAGGTGCAATAAAATTGATTAATTAAAAAAAAAAAGAACTTAGGGTAAATTTGAACAATTCAACACAAACAGCGTAAAGAATTGAAAATACACTATAAGAGAATGAAAAATAAAAGAATTAACGTATAAACCAGCACATGCATTTCCAGACATAATTTGCATAAGCAAGGGTTTGTATTTTCTTATGACATTACAAGTTTACATGTTACTCATCTGCATCGTACACTAAAGAAAGATAACAAAATTTGTTAAACGTTTAGTAGTGTTTACTAGCGATGACGTCATTCAACAGTAATTCGTTAATTAAGATCAAGAGTACATCGAAAACTGTATGAGATAAGTTCTTTCATATTCGGCGATTGATTCTTAAATGCACATAGAGGGAGACAAATTAAGTAGTGTTGAAGAGGATTGACGTCATTTAGCAAAGTTATTAAGAGTTGTTCCCTCGAAAAAGACATACATCAGTAGGTATTCCACCTTTTACCTAATAGAACAAGGATATGTAATGCTCAAGTACAATAACATCTTTATTGAAGCTGGTAAAACATTCCGTTTTTAGTAAATTTAAATAGTAGTAGGGTCTTCTTAGAGTTACATCTTTAAATTCAACAAAAAGTGATGATTTGAATAATGCCGATAACTTTCAGCTCAAAACGAATTGTCGTTTTGTCTTTTCAGTTACCGTGCGGTGAAAGCCAGAAAAGATTTTACACCAATCAAAGCTAATTATTGTTTATCGAATGGAAGGTATGATATATTTGATTTCTCTTTATAGTTGCAGGTAATATTTCAGTGTTTGTAGGATCTGATGGTCGACTACTTTTGTACAACGCAGATACATATAATACTTCATCAATATGTTCCTATAATTGGAACGATCAAGATGCTACAGTTGTATGCAAGCAAACTGGCATGGGAGATATTGGTAAAGCAACATATATCGATCGGGATTACAATTTCAGTAGGAGTATGTTTAACGTTTACTGCACAGGTAACGAAACCGATCTATCAGAGTGTACATATGACACCAGTGACAGTATGGGAATGTGTGATTATGTTCAAGATGCTGGAGTTCATTGCATCGATACAGGTATGTTTTCGTGATAAGTGGTATCTAAACATGACCAATGCCATTATGATTATAAAATTTACAGGCATGAACTTGTTTCTAAAATTTCCGTTGTTCAATTCAAAACCATAAAAAGAAAAACATATTGGAAAAAAGAAGCATCTATCAGTAGGTGTACCACCTTTTAATTCCGTGTATAAGAAAAAAAGCCACATACAATGCTCAAGTACAATAATTAAATATATTTCATTTCGTTTGAAATTGGGTTTTTGCCGTTTGCTATTTGTAGAACTTATATATAGATGGGATCTAGTATAACTAGTTCTGCAACAGTATTTACGATTTATAAAATTTAATGTTAGGTGCATAAGGCACGAGAAAAGTTTTGGGCGGTTTCTACGGGTAGGTTTTTATGCTACTATATAAAGTTTGGCATTTACATGTATTAGTATCGAAGGTGCTCGCAGTTACGTCGAATCGAAGATAGTCACATGATCATATATACAGTTGCTGCTACGTTAATTACGTGTAATTATAATGTGTTTGAAAGGGAAAAAACTGTACAATTTTAAAAATAAAAAGTATATCGTAAGAAAAAAGTAATATGTTACTGCGAGAAACTAATGCTATTTCTGCGTTTGTCTTGTTTATATCCAATTGAATTAAGAGTAGATATACTTTAAATTCAGACAGAAGGGCGAGGGGGAATCTGAAGATAGTAAAATATTAAGTTTTCAGTTTATTCAATTAGTAGTCGGGTATACTTACTTTTACATGTTTAAATTCAATAAAGAGTGATGATTTGAGTAGTGCTGAAAATTTTTCAGCTCAAAACGAATTGTCATTTTGTCTTTTCAGTTATCGTGCGGTGATAGCCAGAAAAGATTTTACACTAAATAAAGCTAATTATTGTTTATCGAATGGAAGGTATAATATATTTGATTTCTCTTTATAGTTGCAGGTAATATTTCAGTGTTTGTAGGATCTGATGGTCGAGTACTTTTGTACAACGCAGATACTTATAATACTTCATCAATATGTTCCTACAATTGGAACGATCAAGATGCTACAGTTGTATGCAAGCAAACTGGCATGGGAGATATTGGTAAAGCAACATATATCGATCGGGATTACAATTTCAGTAGGAGTATGTTTAACGTTTACTGCACAGGTAATGAAACCGATCTATCAGAGTGTACATATGACACCAGTGACAGTGTGGGAATGTGTGATAATGTGCAAGATGCTGGAGTTCATTGCATCGATACAGGTATGTTTTCTTGATGAGTGGTATCTAAATATTAACGATGTTTATAAGAGTTACATAGCTGAAGTTGTTACTAAAATATATGTTGTTCGGATTAACAGAATCATTACAAAAGCCATTGTACTGATCATTTTGAGTCCTTGTTAACACAAATAGAAAATCCAATGCAAAGAAATCTATAGTTTTCCGGGTATAGGATACATTTGTAAGACGGATATATTAAATTGTAATCATATTTCAATTACCAAAGATAAATGCCGCAATGTAAATTCTATTGTCACAATCATAAATTTTCGTCGCTGAGGATCAGAAAATACACGATCATAATGTTTCTTGTAGATCAGACCCAATTGGTTTTGGGACCGGATGGTCGAATACTCTTTTATAACACTCAGACAGGAGATATATCAACAGTATGTTCGTACATGTGGAATGATCAAGGTGCTGACGTTGTTTGTAGACAACTGGGGATGGGAGACAGTGGTACAGCAGTCTATCTTCCAAGAGATCACAACTATACAAGAAATATGTATAGCGTAGAATGCATGGGAGGCGAAAAGAACATGTATGACTGTAACTACCAGGTGACTGACTTCTCCGGGTCATGTGAATATGTGTCTGATGCTGGTGTTGAGTGTGCTTCCCAAGGTATGTTATCCTTCAATGTTAAAAGGAAGAATTTTCTTCCGACATTACACTATGTTATTAAGAACTTAGGGTAAATTTGAACCATTCAACACAAACAGCGTAAAGAATTGAAAATACACTATAAGAGAATGAAAAATAAAAGAATTAACGTATTAACCAGCACATGCATTTCCAGACATAATTTGCATAAGCAAGGGTTTGTATTTTCTTATGACATTATAAGTTTACATGTTACTCATCTGCATCGTACACTAAAGAAAGATACCAAAATTTGTTAAACGTTTAGTAGTGTTTACTAGCGATGACGTCATTCAACAGTAATTCGTTAATTAAGATCAAGAGTACATCGAAAACTGTATGAGATTAGTTCTTTCATATTCGGCGATTGATTCTTAAATGCACATAGAGGGAGACAAATTAAGTAGTGTTGAAGAGGATTGACGTCATTTAGCAAAGTTATTAAGAGTTGTTCCCTCGAAAAAGACATACGTCAGTAGGTGTTCCACCTTTTACCTAATAGAACAAGGATATGTAATGCACAAGTACAATACAATAACATCTTTATTGAACCTGATAAAACAATCCGTTTTCAGTAAATTTAAATAGTAGTAAGGTCTTCTTAGAGTTACATCTTTAAATTCAATAAAAAGTGATGATTTGAATAATGCCGATAACTTTCAGCTCAAAACGAATTGTCGTTTTGTCTTTTCAGTTACCGTGCGGTGAAAGCCAGAAAAGATTTTACACTAATCAAAGCTAATTATTGTTTATCGAATGGAAGGTATGATATATTTGATTTCTCTTTATAGTTGCAGGTTATATTTCAGTGTTTGTAGGATCTGATGGTCGAGTACTTTTGTACAACGCAGATACATATAATACTTCATCAATATGTTCCTATAATTGGAACGATCAAGATGCTACAGTTGTATGCAAGCAAACTGGCATGGGAGATATTGGTAAAGCAACATATATCGATCGGGATTACAATTTCAGTAGGAGTATGTTTAACGTTTACTGCACAGGTAACGAAACCGATCTATCAGATTGTACATATGACACCAGTGACAGTATGGGAATGTGTGATTATGTGCAAGATGCTGGAGTTCATTGCATCGATACAGGTATGTTTTCGTGATAAGTGGTATCTAAACATGACCAATGCCATTATGATTATAAGATTTACAGGCACGAACTTGTTGCTAAAATTTCCGTTGTTCAATTCAAAACCATAAAAAGAAAAACATATTGAAAAAAAGAAGCATCTATCAGTAGGTGTACCACCTTTTAATTCCGTGTATAAGAAAAAAAGCCACATACAATGCTCAAGTACAATAATTAAATATATTTCATTTCGTTTGAAATTGGGGTTTTGCCGTTTGCTATTTGTAGGACTTATATATAGATGGGATCTAGTATAACTAGTTCTGCAACAGTATTTACGATTTATAAAATTTAATGTTAGGTGCATAAGGCACGAGAAAAGTTTTGGGCGGTTTCTACGGGTAGGTTTTTATGCTACTATATAAAGTTTGGCATTTACATGTATTAGTATCGAAGGTGCTCGCAGTTACGTCGAATCGAAGATAGTCACATGATCATATATACAGTTGCTGCTACGTTAATTACGTGTAATTATAATGTGTTTGAAAGGGAAAAAACTGTACAATTTTAAAAATAAAAAGTATATCGCAAGAAAAAATAATATGTTACTGCGAGAAACTAATGCTATTTCTGCGTTTGTCTTGTTTATAGCCAATTGAATTAAGAGTAGATATACTTTAAATTCAGACAGAAGGGCGAGGGGGAATTTGAAGATAGTAAAATATTAAGTTTTCAGTTTATTCAATTAGTAGTCGGGTTTACTTACTTTTACATGTTTAAATTCAATAAAGAGTGATGATTTGAGTAGTGCTGAAAATTTTTCAGCTCAAAACGAATTGTAATTTTGTCTTTTCAGTTATCGTGCGGTGATAGCCAGAAAAGATTTTACACTAAATAAATCTAATTATTGTTTATCGAATGGAAGGTATAATATATTTGATTTCTCTTTATAGTTGCAGGTAATATTTCAGTGTTTGTTGGATCTGATGGTCGAGTACTTTTGTACAACGTAGATACTTATAATACTTCATCAATATGTTCCTACAATTGGAACGATCAAGATGCTACAGTTGTATGCAAGCAAACTGGCATGGGAGATATTGGTAAAGCAACATATATCGATCGGGATTCCAATTTCAGTAGGAGTATGTTTAACGTTTACTGCACAGGTAATGAAACCGATCTATCAGAGTGTACATATGACACCAGTGACAGTGTGGGAATGTGTGATAATGTGCAAGATGCTGGAGTTCATTGCATCGATACAGGTATGTTTTCTTGATGAGTGGTATCTAAATATTAACGATGTTTATAAGAGTTACATAGCTGAAGTTGTTACTAAAATATATGTTGTTCGGATTAACAGAATCATTACAAAAGCCATTGTACTGATCATTGTGAGTCCTTGTTAACACAAATAGAAAATCCAATGCAATGAAATCTATAGTTTTCCGGGTATAGGATACATTTGTAAGACGGATATATTAAATTGTAATCATATTTCAATTACCAAAGATAAATACCGCAATGTAAAGTCTATTGTTACAATCATAAATTTTCGTCGCTGAGGATCAGAAAATACACGATCATAATGTTTCTTGTAGATCAGACCCAATTGGTTTTGGGACCGGATGGTCGAATACTCTTTTATAACACTCAGACAGGAGATATATCAACAGTATGTTCGTACATGTGGAATGATCAAGGTGCTGACGTTGTTTGTAGACAACTGGGGATGGGACACAGTGGTACAGCAGTCTATCTTCCAAGAGATCACAACTATACAAGAAATATGTATAGCGTAGAATGCATGGGAGGCGAAAAGAACATGTATGACTGTAACTACCAGGTGACTGACTACTCCGGGTCATGTGAATATGTGTCTGATGCTGGTGTTGAGTGTGCTTCCCAAGGTATGTTATCCTTGAATGTTAAAAGGAAGAATTTTCTTCCGACAATACACTATGTTATTAAGAACTTAGGGTAAATTTGAACAATTCAACACAAACAGCGTAAAGAATTGAAAATACACTAAAAGAGAATGAAAAATAAAAGAATTAACGTATAAACCAGCACATGCATTTCCAGACATAATTTGCATAAGCAAGGGTTTGTATTTTCTTATGACATTATAAGTTTACATGTTACTCATCTGCATCGTACACTAAAGAAAGATAACAAAATTTGTTAAACGTTTAGTAGTGTTTACTAGCGATGACGTCATTCAGCAGTAATTCGTTAATTAAGATCAAGAGTACATCGAAAACTGTATGAGATAAGTTCTTTCATATTCGGCGACTGATTCTTAAATGCACATAGAGGGAGACAAATTAAGTAGTGTTGAAGAGGATTGACGTCATTTAGCAAAGTTATTAAGAGTTGTTCCCTCGAAAAAGACATACATCAGTAGGTATTCCACCTTTTACCTAATAGAACAAGGATATGTAATGCTCAAGTACAATAACATCTTTATTGAAGCTGGTAAAACATTCCGTTTTCAGTAAATTTAAATAGTAGTAGGGTCTTCTTAGAGTTACATCTTTAAATTCAATAAAAAGTGATGATTTGAATAATAGTTGTATAGTACGTAGGTGAAACTGGACGATATTTATCTAAACGCACTCAAGAACATCTGTATCGTTTTAAAAGACCCAATAAATTCAAAAGTATCATTTATCAACACCTTAAGAAGCACAATCATCCTATTAAATATTTAGCAGTTCAACCTTTAGAAGTAGTAAATAAGCAGCCTGGTGAATCTCATTCAAAGTTTGTACGATCGCGGAAAATAATTGAATTAAATTGGATTAAAAAATTACAGACTGTCTACCCTCTCGGTCTTAATGATAATATCATGGGAATTGGTAATATATCAAGAACCGATTCTGTTAACATTTTGGATATAGTTTCTAAAACTGTTCGTAAAAACCGTTCTCATGGTCGTAGAAAAAATCGCAATCAAAGAAAATTTCGGACCAATCATACCAATATTTCGGACCTAATTTCTATTTCAAAAAACAACGGCAGACATTATCTGTTAACAAAGCTCTGTTCATTACCGGTTAATAAGTTAAATAAAATTTTAGAGGATTGCAACACAATTTCATATAGCAGTCCTAAGTATGAAATCGTTCAAATTATAATGGCATATTGTTATTCTAAACTGTTTCCCAAAATTGATCGCCCTGAAGATCATAAAAAACAGTTTATTAAAATAAAGTATGTCAATAAAGGTTTTGATTTTGTAAATATTGCCGGTATTTTTAACGACCATTCTGTTAAAGAACAAATTCCGGGATATTTTGATAATACTGAGCTCCCTCTTATTTGTTATATTTACAAGAAATCTACCCGGAAATTTGTGTTTAATTATAGCCAATTGTGTAAAGATGTTAATATCAGTGAAAATACACCTACTTCATGTAATTGCAGTAATTCCGAATACATTTATGGACCCATTTCCCATGTTATAACAGGAGATCTTAACATCGTTCAAGACCGAGAGTTAAAATCATTCCTCAGTAAAGGACCTAAATATCGTCCCCCGTCAATTATTAATTGGAATGAGTGTCGTAATATCATCCACGACTCACTCCATACTTACTGTTTGAAATGGATAAAACGGGAAAAAGCTGACAAAAAATCTTTGGACTCTTTTTTTAAATCAGTAATGAACATAGTTGATATACGTATTCAACATTTTAAAGAACATTTTACTCTTAACAATAACCACAATAAACCTATTTCTCGTATCAAACATAAACTAAAAGAACTAGCCAAGGAATTTGTTTTTGTCCCGGCCGATAAAGCTGCTAATAATATTATTATTGTTTGACGTAAATTTTACATTGAGGTTCTGAAAAAAGAAATCACCAATTCACCAACATTCCAACTGACTCCATTTTCAGAAAACGACATCTGTAACAAACATAAACTTTTAGCTACCGCTTTACAAGCAGAACCAAATACAATGAAAGTCCCAACTATGTATTGGCTTCCGAAGCTACACAAAACACCTTACAAATATAGATTCATTTCGTCTTCAAGCCATTGTTCCACTACTAAATTGTCTATTCTTCTTACCAGTACACTTGGTACAATCAAAAACCTGATAATAAATTGTTCAAATAAGGCCTTCGAAAATAGTGGAATTAATTACTTTTGGAGTGTCAAGAACTCGTTGGAAGTACTTGATAAATTGCATGCATATATTGGTGATTTTGAATCTGTTCAAAGTTTTGATTTTTCTACCCTATATACCACATTGCCTCACATTCTCATTAAGAAAAAATTCACACACCTAATTAAATGGGCATTTAAAAAGTCAGAATGTGAATATATATGTTCAAACTCTTTTAGGTCATTTTTTAGTAGCAATAAACAAAAAAACTATGTCAATTGGACATGCTTTGATACTATATATGCCCTTGAATTTTTACTAGATAACATTTTTGTTCGCTTTGGAGATTCCGTATATCGTCAGGTTATCGGAATTCCAATGGGGACTAACTGTGCACCACTTATTGCGGACCTTTTTTTGTATTGCTATGAGTTACAATTTATGACAAAAATCAGTAAAGACCCATCGAAACAACATCTGATACACAAATTTAATAATACTTTTAGATATTTGGATGATATTTTGGCTCTCAATAATGACGACTTCAGTATGTATACTAAAGAAATTTATCCTGTTGAACTTACTTTAAATAAAGCTAATACTAACAATGACCACTGCCCTTTCCTCGATCTTGATATCTATATCATTAACGGAAAGCTTAATACTAAAATATATGATAAAAGAGATGATTTTTCATTTCCTATCGTTAATTATCCATTTTTAGATGGTGACGTTCCCTTGTCACCATCTTACGGTGTTTATATATCTCAACTTGTACGATTCGCTCGTGTATGTAACAATGTTTTAGATTTTAACGAGAGAAATGTATGTATTACTGAAAAATTATTACACCAGGGTTTTCGATATCACAAACTAGTCAAAACATTTACTAAATTTTATCATCGGTATAAGGACATATAGCTCAACATGCAGACTTCTTATACGTTCAGGTATTTCACATCCAATTTTTTATGGAAATATTCTTTATAAAGCACAAAAATGTCAGTATTCACCTCTGAAACTAACAAAACCTTTAAATAGACTTATTAAGAAGGGATATAGTTACGATACTGTTGTCAGGTCATTAAAGATTGCATATTTTGGCGTTGATATTGATTCACTTATAGGGTCTTTGCATCTGCACTAAACACATTTATTTAAAAACCAGTTGTTGGCATGACACGGGTTATGTTCTTCTCATATATGTTATGATGGTATGATACTAAACCCCTAACGGGAAGGATTGTGCCTGATATTCATATGATGAAGACATAATCTTTCAATCAGTTTAATTGAAGTCTGGAGCTGGCATGTCAGTTAACTGCTAGTAGTCTGTTGTTATTTATGTATTATTGTCATTTTGTTTATTTTCTTTGGTTACATCTTCTGACATCAGACTCGGACTTCTCTTGAACTGAATTTTAATGTGCGTATTGTTATGCGTTTACTTTTCTACATTGGCTAGAGGTATAGGGGGAGGGTTGAGATCTCATAAACATGTTTAACCCCGCCGCATTTTTGCGCCTGTCCCAAGTCAGGAGCCTCTAGCCTTTGTTAGTCTTGTATTATTTTTAATTTTAGTTTCTTGTGTACAATTTGGAGTTTAGTATGGCGTTCATTATCACTGAACTAGTATATATATTTGTTTAGGGGCCAGCTGAAGGACGCCTCCGGGTGCGGGAATTTCTCGCTGCATTGAAGACCTGTTGGTGGCCTTCTGCTGTTGTCTGTTCTGTGGTCGGGTTGTTGTCTCTTTGACACATTCCCCATTTCCATTCTCAATTTTATTGAATAATGCCGATTACTTTCAGCTCAAAACGAATTGTCGTTTTGTCTTTTCAGTTACCGTGCGGTGAAAGCCAGGAAAGATTTTACACTAATCAAAGCTAATTATTGTTTATCGGATGGAAGGTATGATATATTTGATTTCTCTTTATAGTTGCAGGTAATATTTCAGTGTTTGTAGGATCTGATGGTCGAGTACTTTTGTACAACGCAGATACATATAATACTTCATCAATATGTTCCTATAATTGGAACGATCAAGATGCTACAGTTGTATGCAAGCAAACTGGCATGGGAGATATTGGTAAAGCAACATATATCGATCGGGATTACAATTTCAGTAGGAGTATGTTTAACGTTTACTGCACAGGTAATGAAACCGATCTATCAGGGTGTACATATGACACCAGTGACAGTGTGGGAATGTGTGATAATGTGCAAGATGCTGGAGTTCATTGCATCGATACAGGTATGTTTTCTTGATGAGTGGTATCTAAATATTAACGATGTTTATAAGAGTTACATAGCTGAAGTTGTTACTAAAATATATGTTGTTCGGATTAACAGAATCATTACAAAAGCCATTGTACTGATCATTTTGAGTCCTTGTTAACACAAATAGAAAATCCAATGTAATGAAATCTATAGTTTTCTGGGTATAGGATACATTTGTAAGACGGATATATTAAATTGTAATCATATTTCAATTACCAAAGATAAATACTGCAATGTAAAGTCTATTGTTACAATCATAAATTTTCGTCGCTGAGGATCAGAAAATACACGATCATAATGTTTCTTGTAGATCAGACCCAATTGGTTTTGGGACCGGATGGTCGAATACTCTTTTATAACACTCAGACAGGAGATATATCAACAGTATGTTCGTACATGTGGAATGATCAAGGTGCTGACGTTGTTTGTAGACAACTGGGGATGGGACACAGTGGTACAGCAGTCTATCTTCCAAGAGATCACAACTATACAAGAAATATGTATAGCGTAGAATGCATGGGAGGCGAAAAGAACATGTATGACTGTAACTACCAGGTGACTGACTACTCCGGGTCATGTGAATATGTGTCTGATGCTGGTGTTGAGTGTGCTTCCCAAGGTATGTTATCCTTGAATGTTAAAAGGAAGAATTTTCTTCCGACAATACACTATGTTATTAAGAACTTAGGGTAAATTTGAACAATTCAACACAAACAGCGTAAAGAATTGAAAATACACTAAAAGAGAATGAAAAATAAAAGAATTAACGTATAAACCAGCACATGCATTTCCAGACATAATTTGCATAAGCAAGGGTTTGTATTTTCTTATGACATTATAAGTTTACATGTTACTCATCTGCATCGTACACTAAAGAAAGATAACAAAATTTGTTAAACGTTTAGTAGTGTTTACTAGCGATGACGTCATTCAGCAGTAATTCGTTAATTAAGATCAAGAGTACATCGAAAACTGTATGAGATAAGTTCTTTCATATTCGGCGATTGATTCTTAAATGCACATAGAGGGAGACAAATTAAGTAGTGTTGAAGAGGATTGACGTCATTTAGCAAAGTTATTAAGAGTTGTTCCCTCGAAAAAGACATACATCAGTAGGTATTCCACCTTTTACCTAATAGAACAAGGATATGTAATGCTCAAGTACAATAACATCTTTATTGAAGCTGGTAAAACATTCCGTTTTCAGTAAATTTAAATAGTAGTAGGGTCTTCTTAGAGTTACATCTTTAAATTCAATAAAAAGTGATGATTTGAATAATGCCGATAACTTTCAGCTCAAAACGAATTGTCGTTTTGTCTTTTCAGTTACCGTGCGGTGAAAGCCAGAAAAGATTTTACACTAATCAAAGCTAATTATTGTTTATCGAATGGAAGGTATGATATATTTGATTTCTCTTTATAGTTGCAGGTAATATTTCAGTGTTTGTAGGATCTGATGGTCGAGTACTTTTGTACAACGCAGATACATATAATACTTCATCAATATGTTCCTATAATTGGAACGATCAAGATGCTGCAGTTGTATGCAAGCAAACTGGCATGGGAGATATTGGTAAAGCAACATATATCGATCGGGATTACAATTTCAGTAGGATTATGTTTAACGTTTACTGCACAGGTAACGAAACCGATCTATCAGAGTGTACATATGACACCAGTGACAGTATGGGAATGTGTGATTATGTGCAAGATGCTGGAGTTCATTGCATCGATACAGGTATGTTTTCGTGATAAGTGGTATCTAAACATGACCAATGCCATTATGATTATAAGATTTACAGGCACGAACTTGTTGCTAAAATTTCCGTTGTTCAATTCAAAACCATAAAAAGAAAAACATATTGGAAAAAAGAAGCATCTATCAGTAGGTGTACCACCTTTTAATTCCGTGTATAAGAAAAAAAGCCACATACAATGCTCAAGTACAATAATTAAATATATTTCATTTCGTTTGAAATTGGGGTTTTGCCGTTTGCTATTTGTAGGACTTATATATAGATGGGATCTAGTATAACTAGTTCTGCAACAGTATTTACGATTTATAAAATTTAATGTTAGGTGCATAAGGCACGAGAAAAGTTTTGGGCGGTTTCTACGGGTAGGTTTTTATGCTACTATATAAAGTTTGGCATTTACATGTATTAGTATCGAAGGTGCTCGCAGTTACGTCGAATCGAAGATAGTCACATGATCATATATACAGTTGCTGCTACGTTAATTACGTGTAATTATAATGTGTTTGAAAGGGAAAAAACTGTACAATTTTAAAAATAAAAAGTATATCGCAAGAAAAAATAATATGTTACTGCGAGAAACTAATGCTATTTCTGCGTTAGTCTTGTTTATAGCCAATTGAATTAAGAGTAGATATACTTTAAATTCAGACAGAAGGGCGAGGGGGAATTTGAAGATAGTAAAATATTAAGTTTTCAGTTTATTCAATTAGTAGTCGGGTTTACTTACTTTTACATGTTTAAATTCAATAAAGAGTGATGATTTGAGTAGTGCTGAAAATTTTTCAGCTCAAAACGAATTGTCATTTTGTCTTTTCAGTTATCGTGCGGTGATAGCCAGAAAAGATTTTACACTAAATAAAGCTAATTATTGTTTATCGAATGGAAGGTATAATATATTTGATTTCTCTTTATAGTTGCAGGTAATATTTCAGTGTTTGTTGGATCTGATGGTCGAGTACTTTTGTACAACGTAGATACTTATAATACTTCATCAATATGTTCCTACAATTGGAACGATCAAGATGCTACAGTTGTATGCAAGCAAACTGGCATGGGAGATATTGGTAAAGCAACATATATCGATCGGGATTACAATTTCAGTAGGAGTATGTTTAACGTTTACTGCACAGGTAATGAAACCGATCTATCAGAGTGTACATATGACACCAGTGACAGTGTGGGAATGTGTGATAATGTGCAAGATGCTGGAGTTCATTGCATCGATACAGGTATGTTTTCTTGATGAGTGGTATCTAAATATTAACGATGTTTATAAGAGTTACATAGCTGAAGTTGTTACTAAAATATATGTTGTTCGGATTAACAGAATCATTACAAAAGCCATTGTACTGATCATTTTGAGTCCTTGTTAACACAAATAGAAAATCCAATGCAATGAAATCTATAGTTTTCCGGGTATAGGATACATTTGTAAGACGGATATATTAAATTGTAATCATATTTCAATTACCAAAGATAAATACTGCAATGTAAAGTCTATTGTTACAATCATAAATTTTCGTCGCTGTCAGAAAATACACGATCATAATGTTTCTTGTAGATCAGACCCAATTGGTTTTGGGACCGGATGGTCGAATACTCTTTTATAACACTCAGACAGGAGATATATCAACAGTATGTTCGTACATGTGGAATGATCAAGGTGCTGACGTTGTTTGTAGACAACTGGGGATGGGAGACAGTGGTACAGCAGTCTATCTTCCAAGAGATCACAACTATACAAGAAATATGTATAGCGTAGAATGCATGGGAGGCGAAAAGAACATGTATGACTGTAACTACCAGGTGACTGACTACTCCGGGTCATGTGAATATGTGTCTGATGCCGGTGTTGAGTGTGCTTCCCAAGGTATGTTATCCTTGAATGTTAAAAGGAAGAATTTTCTTCCGACAATACACTATGTTATTAAGAACTTAGGGTAAAGTTGAACAATTCAACACAAACAGCGTAAAGAATTGAAAATACACTAAAAGAGAATGAAAAATAAAAGAATTAACGTATAAACCAGCACATGCATTTCCAGACATAATTTGCATAAGCAAGGGTTTGTATTTTCTTATGACATTATAAGTTTACATGTTACTCATCTGCATCGTACACTAAAGAAAGATAACAAAATTTGTTAAACGTTTAGTAGTGTTTACTAGCGATGAAGTCATTCAGCAGTAATTCGTTAATTAAGATCAAGAGTACATCGAAAACTGTATGAGATAAGTTCTTTCATATTCGGCGATTGATTCTTAAATGCACATAGAGGGAGACAAATTAAGTAGTGTTGAAGAGGATTGACGTCATTTAGCAAAGTTATTAAGAGTTGTTCCCTCGAAAAAGACATACATCAGTAGGTATTCTACCTTTTACCTAATAGAACAAGGATATGTAATGCTCAAGTACAATAACATCTTTATTGAAGCTGGTAAAACATTCCGTTTTCAGTAAATTTAAATAGTAGTAGGGTCTTCTTAGAGTTACATCTTTAAATTCAATAAAAAGTGATGATTTGAATAATGCCGATAACTTTCAGCTCAAAACGAATTGTCGTTTTGTCTTTTCAGTTACCGTGCGGTGAAAGCCAGAAAAGATTTTACACTAATCAAAGCTAATTATTGTTTATCGAATGGAAGGTATGATATATTTGATTTCTCTTTATAGTTGCAGGTAATATTTCAGTGTTTGTAGGATCTGATGGTCGAGTACTTTTGTACAACGCAGATACATATAATACTTCATCAATATGTTCCTATAATTGGAACGATCAAGATGCTACAGTTGTATGCAAGCAAACTGGCATGGGAGATATTGGTAAAGCAACATATATCGATCGGGATTACAATTTCAGTAGGAGTATGTTTAACGTTTACTGCACAGGTAACGAAACCGATCTATCAGAGTGTACATATGACACCAGTGACAGTATGGGAATGTGTGATTATGTGCAAGATGCTGGAGTTCATTGCATCGATACAGGTATGTTTTCGTGATAAGTGGTATCTAAACATGACCAATGCCATTATGATTATAAGATTTACAGGCACGAACTTGTTGCTAAAATTTCCGTTGTTCAATTCAAAACCATAAAAAGAAAAACATATTGGAAAAAAGAAGCATCTATCAGTAGGTGTACCACCTTTTAATTCCGTGTATAAGAAAAAAAGCCACATACAATGCTCAAGTACAATAATTAAATATATTTCATTTCTTTTGAAATTGGGGATTTGCCGTTTGCTATTTGTAGGACTTATATATAGATGGGATCTAGTATAACTAGTTCTGCAACAGTATTTACGATTTATAAAATTTAATGTTAGGTGCATAAGGGACGAGAAAAGTTTTGGGCGGTTTCTACGGGTAGGTTTTTATGCTACTATATAAAGTTTGGCATTTACATGTATTAGTATCGAAGGTGCTCGCAGTTACGTCGAATCGAAGATAGTCACATGATCATATATACAGTTGCTGCTACGTTAATTACGTGTAATTATAATGTGTTTGAAAGGGAAAAAACTGTACAATTTTAAAAAATAAAAAGTATATCGCAAGAAAAAATAATATGTTACTGCGAGAAACTAATGCTATTTCTGCGTTTGTCTTGTTTATAGCCAATTGAATTAAGAGTAGATATACTTTAAATTCAGACAGAAGGGCGAGGAGGAATTTGAAGATAGTAAAATATTAAGTTTTCAGTTTATTCAATTAGTAGTCGGGTTTACTTACTTTTACATGTTTAAATTCAATAAAGAGTGATGATTTGAGTAGTGCTGAAAATTTTTCAGCTCAAAACGAATTGTCATTTTGTCTTTTCAGTTATCGTGCGGTGATAGCCAGAAAAGATTTTACACTAAATAAAGCTAATTATTGTTTATCGAATGGAAGGTATAATATATTTGATTTCTCTTTATAGTTGCAGGTAATATTTCAGTGTTTGTTGGATCTGATGGTCGAGTACTTTTGTACAACGTAGATACTTATAATACTTCATCAGTATGTTCCTACAATTGGAACGATCAAGATGCTACAGTTGTATGCAAGCAAACTGGCATGGGAGATATTGGTAAAGCAACATATATCGATCGGGATTACAATTTCAGTAGGAGTATGTTTAACGTTTACTGCACAGGTAATGAAACCGATCTATCAGAGTGTACATATGACACCAGTGACAGTGTGGGAATGTGTGATAATGTGCAAGATGCTGGAGTTCATTGCATCGATACAGGTATGTTTTCTTGATGAGTGGTATCTAAATATTAACGATGTTTATAAGAGTTACATAGCTGAAGTTGTTACTAAAATATATGTTGTTCGGATTAACAGAATCATTACAAAAGCCATTGTACTGATCATTTTGAGTCCTTGTTAACACAAATAGAAAATCCAATGCAATGAAATCTATAGTTTTCCGGGTATAGGATACATTTGTAAGACGGATATATTAAATTGTAATCATATTTCAATTACCAAAGATAAATACCGCAATGTAAAGTCTATTGTTACAATCATAAATTTTCGTCGCTGAGGATCAGAAAATACACGATCATAATGTTTCTTGTAGATCAGACCCAATTGGTTTTGGGACCGGATGGTCGAATACTCTTTTATAACACTCAGACAGGAGATATATCAACAGTATGTTCGTACATGTGGAATGATCAAGGTGCTGACGTTGTTTGTAGACAACTGGGGATGGGAGACAGTGGTACAGCAGTCTATCTTCCAAGAGATCACAACTATACAAGAAATATGTATAGCGTAGAATGCATGGGAGGCGAAAAGAACATGTATGACTGTAACTACCAGGTGACTGACTACTCCGGGTCATGTGAATATGTGTCTGATGCTGGTGTTGAGTGTGCTTCCCAAGGTATGTTATCCTTGAATGTTAAAAGCAAGAATTTTCTTCCGACAATACACTATGTTATTAAGAACTTAGGGTAAATTTGAACAATTCAACACAAACAGCGTAAAGAATTGAAAATACACTATAAGAGAATGAAAAATAAAAGAATTAACGTATAAACCAGCACATGCATTTCCAGACATAATTCGCATAAGCAAGGGTTTGTATTTTCTTATGACATTATAAGTTTACATGTTACTCATCTGCATCGTACACTAAAGAAAGATAACAAAATTTGTTAAACGTTTAGTAGTGTTTACTAGCGATAACGTCATTCAGCAGTAATTCGTTAATTAAGATCAAGAGTACATCGAAAACTGTATGAGATAAGTTCTTTCATATTCGGCGATTGATTCTTAAATGCACATAGAGGGAGACAAATTAAGTAGTGTTGAAGAGGATTGACGTCATTTAGCAAAGTTATTAAGAGTTGTTCCCTCGAAAAAGACATACATCAGTAGGTATTCCACCTTTTACCTAATAGAGATTTCCAATAAAATGACTTTACTCGACATAACCGACCTAATTCAACGTATTTCGTCCTATTGCGTTGAAGCATGACGGAGGGGAGCATACACTAAATGCATTTTTTGCTCTTTCGACACGCATTTTTTGCTGATATAGACTAAATGTAAAAATCAACCCAAACTACTTTTTTTAATCTTTAATTATTTTGTTATTAAATTTTGAATGATTTTATTGACAAAAATATTTTAATGGAATAAGCAAGAGAGCAACTTGTAATCAAATACACCCATCATTTCTTGTCATTTCACTTGACCTATATTTCAGTTCTTCTCAAAATATGAATTTTTAAAACTACCAAGTAAAAATTTAGCATAAAAATATTAAAATAATGAAATCCGAAGCGAGAAGGTTATCTCTTTTTTTGTTTTTTTTTAAGTTTTAACGCTTAAAAAGTAGATTCCAACACACCCGAATGTAAAAGGTGTACGCGACTAACTTTTTTTTAAAATTATTTTTCTATAATTTAATTCAAGATAATTTGACGTGAGCAGAAATTCATATCATTGATACATTTATCAAATAGTACTTTTTAGTCTTTACCTATAATAATGCATGGGACGAGGTTTTTGTCCATGTATACCTAAACCCATTCGCAGATACAGGGAGAGAGGGCGTACTCCCCCCTTTCGATCGCCAAATAATTTTGAAAATCTCACGTTTTCCACGTTATCTATACAAATGTTTAGTATAAAATCGTCCAAATTTTTTTTTCGCGTTGCTCCGCTCGGCAGTATAAATTCAATTATCGGGAACTACGCCCTTTTTACAAATATATTGGATCCGGCCATACTCACAAATTGTATAGCACCAAAAAAAATTAAATGATTGTCGTTTGACTTTGATAAATACGTTTTAAAAACAACAATGTTTGAATATTAGACATCTCGCACGGGATTTAAAAGTTTAAGGCTACATACTGAATTGGATTTTTTCCTGGATTTAGAGCTCACTTAACACGGAAATGTGATACTGGCGTGTAATCTAATGGACACATATTCTTGTTTCTGATGTGTCGTTTAATATAAATATTCATTTATTAAGTTATATATAATTCCACTAACAAATAATAATGTATCTTTTAACTGATGAATTATCATTACATTTTATAGAAACTACATATAATCTACTTTTCAGTTATGAACACTAATGGTCCTACCGACACTCTGTGCTTTTGACATGACACAAGGTCTTGCTTTTCTAGAGTGTTTATGTATTTTTTTACTTAATTTGTGATATGTACAAAAAAGATGTAGTATGATTGCCGATGAGACAACTCTTCACAAGAAACCAAATGACACAGCAATTAACAACTATAGGCCACCGTACGACCTTCAAAAATGAGTAAAGCCCATACCGAATAGTCATCTATAAGAGGCCACAAATGACGAATGTAAAACAACTGTAACGATAAAACTAACGGCCTAACTAATGTACAAAAAAATGAACGAAAGCACAGCAACAAACGATAACCATTGAATTACAGGCTCCTTACTTAGGACAGTCACATCCATACATAATGTGGCGGGGTTAAACATGTTAACGGGCCCTCTTACCTGGGACAGTGGTGTAACAGTACGAAATAATTGATTAATATTCTAGACTGGATAATTATTCTGTATTTATTAGTTGTAGTTGTTTTTAAGATAGTGTTCAGTAGCTGTGAATACTCTAAGATCGGTACATGGAGTTTATTTGGTAATACTAGTAATTGCTGTTTTTGTGCTTCGTTTTAGTCGGACGAGTCAATCCCTTTCTTACTGTTTTAATTGTGAGTAGACATGATCATTTGATAACATACTTCTATGATCTCTATTGCTTTTAACTTTGACATCTATAAAACTTGAACTATGTAGCAAAAAGATGCATGCGTAAAATAAGTTCTCGACATAAATTGGCTAAAATATCAGATAAGGATTTAGCCTCAAGCTGTAATACTTACAAGCTATAATAAATACGACGAAGATTTAGCCTCAGGCTATAATACTTATGATGATGATGATACTGATGTATGTCTTATATCCAGCGACAAATATTACATATATATTAAGGATGATGAAATGATAATGATAAATGAATATACCTTTTTGTACATGACCAACACTTAAGAGTCGCATTTTTATATGCTAGGTAACAAATTAACGTACCCGATACAAAGACACACTGGGGGTCCAACAAAATAATTGAACCCGTAATTGAGGCTAGCCTGCTACCAGTCAATCCCATATTTAATAAAAAAAACTGTTAATATATTTTATGCTTTATGTGCATATATTATTATTCTAGCAACACTTGTTTTGTTTTGATAACACTTTTTGTTGCATAATTTGTTTGATTATTCTCCTTGATTCTCCTTAATTCTTTGTATCAAAAAGCTTAGTTTTTTGTAAAATTGTGTTTCACAGCTTCCATTATCCTTGTGACTTGCTATTGTATTAATATCCAGTAGGCATGCAATTATTATTCTAAATAGTATAAAATATTTTTAACAAGTAAAGATTACCCCGTTTTGATCCAGACTTCCTTACCACTAGCATCTAAGATACATACACTGACAAAATATTGTACCCGCACTCATATTACAATCACCCTGCCTGTCCGTCCGTCAGTCTGTCCGTTCAACAAATATTTTCAATTTTCTTTTCAAAAGCATTAGTATGCTTAGCATGCATTCTTTTTTCGATTTATTCCATTTTACTCCGACATGTATATATCTGGATCCGTGTCGAGCGTCCAACTATCAAACAGAGTCCAAATGGCGTGAATAACGACTACAGTGGCTCCTGCTGTCGTCAACAATAAGCAAAAACTCATACCGTATTATAATTATAAGATACTATAGTATATAAAGCATTGACTTTGAAAAATGTAAACAGTTCAAACGAAAATAAACATCTTTACAAGAGTAAAATTAACCCTAAAATGATAGAAAGTAACAAACGACATCAACTGAATTGAAAGCTCCTGCCTTGTGAAAACCAATATAGAATTTGGCTTGATTAAACGCGTTTACCAGCGTTCAACACTCTGGTGTAACAGCACAATATAAGAAATAAAACCGGTAAAATTCAGTTGGAAATAGCTCTTGAATTAAGCCCAAAACAATGACATTTTTATGATGAAAGACACAGAGTACCGATCTTAAAGTACCCCCAGGTACTGATTGATTGTTGGTTGCTTAACGTCCAGTGGCAAATATTTCATGCATATTCAGGACTAGAACAAATTAACAATAAATACAATAAGTAGGTTATGTAATAGAGGCGTCCGGGATTAAGGTCGGAGAAATTTAGACTGCCACGGGAAGTGCGGGTATATTGGATAGGGACAGAAATTTAGCCTTGCAACAGGTCACCTACGGACCCCTCAAAGATTTGTTGCAAGTGTTCTTAACGTGCAAAGAGCGTTGCATTCTCTTTACACGAGGCATCGGATTTAACGTCTCCATTCTGACCGGACGTGGCTGCAAATTTGTACATCCCGCACAGCCAAACGGACGCCCCACTTTGACAAGGGTTTTACTGCCGGTCGGAGGAAGACCAATGGTGACCATACTTCTATCCCCCAGTCACCTTTGGGGGTCCCAGGTACTGAAAGCTGATTCTTACATGTTAAATTACCTGAGAATATTAAACGTATTTAGTTAAATAAAAAAAATAAGGAGATATGATATGATTGCCAATAAGAAATGAAGTGGATGTAAGCAATGATAGGCAACCGTACGGCCTTCATCAATGAGAAAAATCCATACCGTATAGTCGACTATAAAAGGAACCAACTTGAAAAATATGAAACAATTCAATTGAGAAAACTACCGGCCTGATTTAAAACAAAACAATTTACGAAAAACAAATATAACAGATATGAACCAACGACAACAAGTGAACCACAGGCTCCTGACATGGGACAGGCACATAAAGAATGAGTGCTCAACCCCTCCCTCTAAGCCTGGGACAGTGGTTCAACAGCACGACATAAGAACAACCTGGAAAAACCTTCCTTCAGAGAGCTTGGTTTACACATATATACATATTTAAAGTAATTATGAATATAAAATTTGTTTTTAGCCGTGTATCACCTTCACTGGTGATCCTATGCATGGATATGTCGTAGAAATTAACTTTATATATAAATATATATCTCTAAGGCGAGACAAAAATTGAAACTAAAAAGTTTTGCTTACCTCAATCAATATGTTATAGTTTAAGAATCCACTTCTAATTGGACTAGTCAGAGTTGTCTTAATCCAAAAACAACTATGACAATATCAAGCCTTACTAATTAAAAGTACATTTTAAAAAGAAAATTACTATAAAGACTGAAGTGTCATTATAGTTGTCTTAAAAATGTAACAAGTATATAAATTGGCATTCTCGTCCACTTTAAATCAGAGATACTTGGAGACAGGACATTTTTTTTAGCCAATTACTATGTACTATAAATTGATAGTTTACTATCCACAGCGGTCAATGTTTATATGCAGATTAGTCATCTATTGCAAATCAAGTACACCTTCCAAATTACAATCTATATAACGAATTGGTGTACACATTTATTTACATATATCATTTTTAATTACAAAATTCTTTTTTTTAATGTTAGTTGACTTTCATTTGAAAGAAAAGTGTATGTCAACAATTAAATTTAAAGAAGTACAAGACCTGTATTAATTTTATATACGCCCGTCAAAATTTTGACGGGACGTATTATGGTATACAAATGTCGTCTGTCCGTCTGTCCGTCTGTCCGTCTGTCCGTCTATCCGTCTGTCCGTCTGTCCGGCGTAAACATGTCGCACCGTAACTTCAGAACGACTTATCCAAATTTCATGAAACTTCACATAGTTGTTTCTTATGATGGTCGAAAGATCTGTATACTTTTTGGTGAAAATAAGATCAAAACTTTTTGAGTTACGGGACTTAATAACTAAAGCAGGTGTGTGTTTTTTTTTTCACATGTCGCGACGTATCTCAAAAACAATTTATGATTATTGCTTAAAACTTTACACACTTCTTAGTTATATTAATCTTAAGATCTGTATACTTTTAAGTGATGATTCAAAATTTTATTTTAGAGATATTGAGTATTTTGTTAAAAAAGGGGGAGGGGTTATTCACATGTCGCGTCGTATCTCAAAAACAGTTTATGATTATTGCTTAAAACTTTACACACTTCTTAGTTATATTAATCTTAAGATCTGTATACTTTTTGGTGATGATTCAAAATTTTATTTTTGAGTTATTGAGTATTTTGTAAAAAAAAAGGGGGAGGGGTTTTTCAAATGTCGCGCCGAATCTCAAAAACGATTTATGATTATTGCTTAAAATTTTACACACTTCTTAGTTATAAAGATCTGTATACCTTTTGGTTTTGATTCAAAATTTTATTTTAGAGATATTGAGTTTTTTGTAAAAAAAAAAAGGGGATTTTCGCATGTCAGGCCGTATGTCAGAAACTATTTATGATTATTGCATAAAAATTCACACACAAGACGACGGGCGTATCATGCGTTCATGGCGCAGCTGTTTTTTTTTTAAATATACACATCCCTTTGTCGAACGTTTTCTCTGGGAAAAAAATCGGAGATTGTTAATAAACAAGATTAACTGCAGAATAAGAGAACGTTTGAAATGATGCTTAATAAAGTATGATGCAATCCCAGTTATCAACTTTAACAGAGACAAATTCTGACTAACACTTTGAATTCGATATTTCTGAACTTGCTAGAAATATCTCTGTCTAATAATAAATACCCACGGAAATCAAATATTATAAAACATTAAGAGACGAAAGGAAAAAGGGACACCAATCTGATAACGACAAATAAAAGCATGTCAAATATTAAATAATAAAAGGTTCATTTGCAAAGTATATCGAAAAACAAAATCATGGTCAAAACCATGAAAGACAACTCAAATCAATCGTATGATAGGTAAAGATACGTGTATATAAATGGTCTTATGACAGTGAAGTTTTGGCGGGAATCTCAATAATCACGTGATATATAAAAATCATGATTTCTTTGTTTTTCATCATCTTAGAAATACTTGATATTGATAAAATTTATCATGAATGGGTTTAATAGTTTAGGAATTCTTAGTTAAAACTTGAGTGACGTATTTTACAAAATTAATAGGTTAGCAATAACCGGTCCCGTTACGTGCGTACGTCGAGTTAGGTACGTATGTCATTTTATTGGAAATCTCTAATAGAACAAGGATATGTAATGCTCAAGTACAATAACATCTTTATTGAAGCTGGTAAAACATTCCGTTTTCAGTAAATTTAAATAGTAGTAGGGTCTTCTTAGAATTACATCTTTAAATTCAATAAAAAGTGATGATTTGAATAATGCCGATAACTTTCAGCTCAAAACGAATTGTCGTTTTGTCTTTTCAGTTACCGTGCGGTGAAAGCCAGAAAAGATTTTACACTAATCAAAGCTAATTATTGTTTATCGAATGGAAGGTATGATATATTTGATTTCTCTTTATAGTTGCAGGTAATATTTCAGTGTTTGTAGGATCTGATGGTCGAGTACTTTTGTACAACGCAGATACATATAATACTTCATCAATATGTTCCTATAATTGGAACGATCAAGATGCTACAGTTGTATGCAAGCAAACTGGCATGGGAACTATTGGTAAAGCAACATATATCGATCGGGATTACAATTTCAGTAGGAGTATGTTTAACGTTTACTGCACAGGTAACGAAACCGATCTATCTGAGTGTACATATGACACCAGTGACAGTATGGGAATGTGTGATTATGTGCAAGATGCTGGAGTTCATTGCATCGATACAGGTATGTTTTCGTGATAAGTGGTATCTAAACATGACCAATGCCATTATGATTATAAGATTTACAGGCACGAACTTGTTGCTAAAATTTCCGTTGTTCAATTCAAAACCATAAAAAGAAAAACATATTGGAAAAAAGAAGCATCTATCAGTAGGTGTACCACCTTTTAATTCCGTGTATAAGAAAAAAAGCCACATACAATGCTCAAGTACAATAATTAAATATATTTCATTTCGTTTGAAATTGGGGTTTTGCCGTTTGCTATTTGTAGGACTTATATATAGATGGGATCTAGTATAACTAGTTCTGCAACAGTATTTACGATTTATAAAATTTAATGTTAGGTGCATAAGGCACGAGAAAAGTTTTGGGCGGTTTCTACGGGTAGGTTTTTATGCTACTATATAAAGTTTGGCATTTACATGTATTAGTATCGAAGGTGCTCGCAGTTACGTCGAATCGAAGATAGTCACATGATCATATATACAGTTGCTGCTACGTTAATTACGTGTAATTATAATGTGTTTGAAAGGGAAAAAACTGTACAATTTTAAAAATAAAAAGTATATCGCAAGAAAAAATAATATGTTACTGCGAGAAACTAATGCTATTTCTGCGTTTGTCTTGTTTATAGCCAATTGAATTAAGAGTAGATATACTTTAAATTCAGACAGAAGGGCGAGGAGGAATTTGAAGATAGTAAAATATTAAGTTTTCAGTTTATTCAATTAGTAGTCGGGTTTACTTACTTTTACATGTTTAAATTCAATAAAGAGTGATGATTTGAGTAGTGCTGAAAATTTTTCAGCTCAAAACGAATTGTCATTTTGTCTTTTCAGTTATCGTGCGGTGATAGCCAGAAAAGATTTTACACTAAATAAAGCTAATTATTGTTTATCGAATGGAAGGTATAATATATTTGATTTCTCTTTATAGTTGCAGGTAATATTTCAGTGTTTGTTGGATCTGATGGTCGAGTACTTTTGTACAACGTAGATACTTATAATACTTCATCAATATGTTCCTACAATTGGAACGATCAAGATGCTACAGTTGTATGCAAGCAAACTGGCATGGGAGATATTGGTAAAGCAACATATATCGATCGGGATTACAATTTCAGTAGGAGTATGTTTAACGTTTACTGCACAGGTAATGAAACCGATCTATCAGAGTGTACATATGACACCAGTGACAGTATGGGAATGTGTGATAATGTGCAAGATGCTGGAGTTCATTGCATCGATACAGGTATGTTTTCTTGATGAGTGGTATCTAAATATTAACGATGTTTATAAGAGTTACATAGCTGAAGTTGTTACTAAAATATATGTTGTTCGGATTAACAGAATCATTACAAAAGCCATTGTACTGATCATTTTGAGTCCTTGTTAACACAAATAGAAAATCCAATGCAATGAAATCTATAGTTTTCCGGGTATAGGATACATTTGTAAGACGGATATATTATATTGTAATCATATTTCAATTACCAAAGATAAATACCGCAATGTAAAGTCTATTGTTACAATCATAAATTTTCGTCGCTGAGGATCAGAAAATACACGATCATAATGTTTCTTGTAGATCAGACCCAATTGGTTTTGGGACCGGATGGTCGAATACTCTTTTATAACACTCAGACAGGAGATATATCAACAGTATGTTCGTACATGTGGAATGATCAAGGTGCTGACGTTGTTTGTAGACAACTGGGGATGGGAGACAGTGGTACAGCAGTCTATCTTCCAAGAGATCACAACTATACAAGAAATATGTATAGCGTAGAATGCATGGGAGGCGAAAAGAACATGTATGACTGTAACTACCAGGTGACTGACTACTCCGGGTCATGTGAATATGTGTCTGATGCTGGTGTTGAGTGTGCTTCCCAAGGTATGTTATCCTTGAATGTTAAAAGGAAGAATTTTCTTCCGACAATACACTATGTTATTAAGAACTTAGGGTAAATTTGAACAATTCAACACAAACAGCGTAAATAATTGAAAATACACTATAAGAGAATGAAAAATAAAAGAATTAACGTATAAACCAGCACATCCATTTCCAGACATAATTCGCATAAGCAAGGGTTTGTATTTTCTTATGACATTATAAGTTTACATGTTACTCATCTGCATCGTACACTAAAGAAAGATAACAAAATTTGTTAAACGTTTAGTAGTGTTTACTAGCGATAACGTCATTCAGCAGTAATTCGTTAATTAAGATCAAGAGTACATCGAAAACTGTATGAGATAAGTTCTTTCATATTCGGCGATTGATTCTTAAATGCACATAGAGGGAGACAAATTAAGTAGTGTTGAAGAGGATTGACGTCATTTAGCAAAGTTATTAAGAGTTGTTCCCTCGAAAAAGACATACATCAGTAGGTATTCTACCTTTTACCTAATAGAACAAGGATATGTAATGCTCAAGTACAATAACATCTTTATTGAAGCTGGTAAAACATTCCGTTTTCAGTAAATTTAAATAGTAGTAGGGTCTTCTTAGACTTACATCTTTAAATTCAATAAAAAGTGATGATTTGAATAATGCCGATAACTTTCAGCTCAAAACGAATTGTCGTTTTGTCTTTTCAGTTACCGTGCGGTGAAAGCCAGAAAAGATTTTACACTAATCAAAGCTAATTATTGTTTATCGAATGGAAGGTATGATATATTTGATTTCTCTTTATAGTTGCAGGTAATATTTCAGTGTTTGTAGGATCTGATGGTCGAGTACTTTTGTACAACGCAGATACATATAATACTTCATCAATATGTTCCTATAATTGGAACGATCAAGATGCTACAGTTGTATGCAAGCAAACTGGCATGGGAACTATTGGTAAAGCAACATATATCGATCGGGATTACAATTTCAGTAGGAGTATGTTTAACGTTTACTGCACAGGTAACGAAACCGATCTATCTGAGTGTACATATGACACCAGTGACAGTATGGGAATGTGTGATTATGTGCAAGATGCTGGAGTTCATTGCATCGATACAGGTATGTTTTCGTGATAAGTGGTATCTAAACATGACCAATGCCATTATGATTATAAGATTTACAGGCACGAACTTGTTGCTAAAATTTCCGTTGTTCAATTCAAAACCATAGAAAGAAAAACATATTGGAAAAAAGAAGCATCTATCAGTAGGTGTACCACCTTTTAATTCCGTGTATAAGAAAAAAAGCCACATACAATGCTCAAGTACAATAATTAAATATATTTCATTTCGTTTGAAATTGGGGTTTTGCCGTTTGCTATTTGTAGGACTTATATATAGATGGGATCTAGTATAACTAGTTCTGCAACAGTATTTACGATTTATAAAATTTAATGTTAGGTGCATAAGGGACGAGAAAAGTTTTGGGCGGTTTCTACGGGTAGGTTTTTATGCTACTATATAAAGTTTGGCATTTACATGTATTAGTATCGAAGGTGCTCGCAGTTACGTCGAATCGAAGATAGTCACATGATCATATATACAGTTGCTGCTACGTTAATTACGTGTAATTATAATGTGTTTGAAAGGGAAAAACTGTACAATTTTAAAAATAAAAAGTATATCGCAAGAAAAAATAATATGTTACTGCGAGAAACTAATGCTATTTCTGCGTTTATCTTGTTTATAGCCAATTGAATTAAGAGTAGATATACTTTAAATTCAGACAGAAGGGCGAGGGGGAATTTGAAGATAGTAAAATATTAAGTTTTCAGTTTATTCAATTAGTAGTCGGGTTTACTTACTTTTACATGTTTAAATTCAATAAAGAGTGATGATTTGAGTAGTGCTGAAAATTTTTCAGCTCAAAACGAATTGTCATTTTGTCTTTTCAGTTATCGTGCGGTGATAGCCAGAAAAGATTTTACACTAAATAAAGCTAATTATTGTTTATCGAATGGAAGGTATAATATATTTGATTTCTCTTTATAGTTGCAGGTAATATTTCAGTGTTTGTTGGATCTGATGGTCGAGTACTTTTGTACAACGTAGATACTTATAATACTTCATCAATATGTTCCTACAATTGGAACGATCAAGATGCTACAGTTGTATGCAAGCAAACTGGCATGGGAGATATTGGTAAAGCAACATATATCGATCGGGATTACAATTTCAGTAGGAGTATGTTTAACGTTTACTGCACAGGTAATGAAACCGATCTATCAGAGTGTACATATGACACCAGTGACAGTGTGGGAATGTGTGATAATGTGCAAGATGCTGGAGTTCATTGCATCGATACAGGTATGTTTTCTTGATGAGTGGTATCTAAATATTAACGATGTTTATAAGAGTTACATAGCTGAAGTTGTTACTAAAATATATGTTGTTCGGATTAACAGAATCATTACAAAAGCCATTGTACTGATCATTTTGAGTCCTTGTTAACACAAATAGAAAATCCAATGCAATGAAATCTATAGTTTTCCGGGTATAGGATACATTTGTAAGACGGATATATTAAATTGTAATCATATTTCAATTACCAAAGATAAATACCGCAATGTAAAGTCTATTGTTACAATCATAAATTTTCGTCGCTGAGGATCAGAAAATACACGATCATAATGTTTCTTGTAGATCAGACCCAATTGGTTTTGGGACCGGATGGTCGAATACTCTTTTATAACACTCAGACAGGAGATATATCAACAGTATGTTCGTACATGTGGAATGATCAAGGTGCTGACGTTGTTTGTAGACAACTGGGGATGGGAGACAGTGGTACAGCAGTCTATCTTCCAAGAGATCACAACTATACAAGAAATATGTATAGCGTAGAATGCATGGGAGGCGAAAAGAACATGTATGACTGTAACTACCAGGTGACTGACTACTCCGGGTCATGTGAATATGTGTCTGATGCTGGTGTTGAGTGTGCTTCCCAAGGTATGTTATCCTTGAATGTTAAAAGGAAGAATTTTCTTCCGACAATACACTATGTTATTAAGAACTTAGGGTAAATTTGAACAATTCAACACAAACAGCGTAAAGAATTGAAAATACACTATAAGAGAATGAAAAATAAAAGAATTAACGTATAAACCAGCACATCCATTTCCAGACATAATTCGCATAAGCAAGGGTTTGTATTTTCTTATGACATTATAAGTTTACATGTTACTCATCTGCATCGTACACTAAAGAAAGATAACAAAATTTGTTAAACGTTTAGTAGTGTTTACTAGCGATAACGTCATTCAGCAGTAATTCGTTAATTAAGATCAAGAGTACATCGAAAACTGTATGAGATAAGTTCTTTCATATTCGGCGATTGATTCTTAAATGCACATAGAGGGAGACAAATTAAGTAGTGTTGAAGAGGATTAACGTCATTTAGCAAAGTTATTAAGAGTTGTTCCCTCGAAAAAGACATACATCAGTAGGTATTCCACCTTTTACCTAATAGAACAAGGATATGTAATGCTCAAGTACAATAACATCTTTATTGAAGCTGGTAAAACATTCCGTTTTCAGTAAATTTAAATAGTAGTAGGGTCTTCTTAGACTTACATCTTTAAATTCAATAAAAAGTGATGATTTGAATAATGCCGATAACTTTCAGCTCAAAACGAATTGTCGTTTTGTCTTTTCAGTTACCGTGCGGTGAAAGCCAGAAAAGATTTTACACTAATCAAAGCTAATTATTGTTTATCGAATGGAAGGTATGATATATTTGATTTCTCTTTATAGTTGCAGGTAATATTTCAGTGTTTGTAGGATCTGATGGTCGAGTACTTTTGTACAACGTAGATACTTATAATACTTCATCAATATGTTCCTATAATTGGAACGATCAAGATGCTACAGTTGTATGCAAGCAAACTGGCATGGGAGATATTGGTAAAGCAACATATATCGATCGGGATTACAATTTCAGTAGGAGTATGTTTAACGTTTACTGCACAGGTAACGAAACCGATCTATCAGAGTGTACATATGACACCAGTGACAGTATGGGAATGTGTGATTATGTGCAAGATGCTGGAGTTCATTGCATCGATACAGGTATGTTTTCGTGATAAGTGGTATCTAAACATGACCAATGCCATTATGATTATAAGATTTACAGGCACGAACTTTTTTCTAAAATTTCCGTTGTTCAATTCAAAACCATAAAAAGAAAAACATATTGGAAAAAAGAAGCATCTATCAGTAGGTGTACCACCTTTTAATTCCGTGTATAAGAAAAAAAGCCACATACAATGCTCAAGTACAATAATTAAATATATTTCATTTCGTTTAAAATTGGGGATTTGCCGTTTGCTATTTGTAGGACTTATATATAGATGGGATCTAGTATAACTAGTTCTGCAACAGTATTTACGATTTATAAAATTTAATGTTAGGTGCATAAGGGACGAGAAAAGTTTTGGGCGGTTTCTACGGGTAGGTTTTTATGCTACTATATAAAGTTTGGCATTTACATGTATTAGTATCGAAGGTGCTCGCAGTTACGTCCAATCGAAGATAGTCACATGATCATATATACAGTTGCTGCTACGTTAATTACGTGTAATTATAATGTGTTTGAAAGGGAAAAAACTGTACAATTTTAAAAATAAAAAGTATATCGCAAGAAAAAATAATATGTTACTGCGAGAAACTAATGCTATTTCTGCGTTTGTCTTGTTTATAGTCAATTGAATTAAGAGTAGATATACTTTAAATTCAGACAGAAGGGCGAGGAGGAATTTGAAGATAGTAAAATATTAAGTTTTCAGTTTATTCAATTAGTAGTCGGGTTTACTTACTTTTACATGTTTAAATTCAATAAAGAGTGATGATTTGAGTAGTGCTGAAAATTTTTCAGCTCAAAACGAATTGTCATTTTGTCTTTTCAGTTATCGTGCGGTGATAGCCAGAAAAGATTTTACACTAAATAAAGCTAATTATTGTTTATCGAATGGAAGGTATAATATATTTGATTTCTCTTTATAGTTGCAGGTAATATTTCAGTGTTTGTAGGATCTGATGGTCGAGTACTTTTGTACAACGTAGATACTTATAATACTTCATCAATATGTTCCTATAATTGGAACGATCAAGATGCTACAGTTGTATGCAAGCAAACTGGCATGGGAGATATTGGTAAAGCAACATATATCGATCGGGATTACAATTTCAGTAGGAGTATGTTTAACGTTTACTGCACAGGTAACGAAACCGATCTATCAGAGTGTACATATGACACCAGTGACAGTATGGGAATGTGTGATTATGTGCAAGATGCTGGAGTTCATTGCATCGATACAGGTATGTTTTCTTGATGAGTGGTATCTAAATATTAACGATGTTTATAAGAGTTACATAGCTGAAGTTGTTACTAAAATATATGTTGTTCGGATTAACAGAATCATTACAAAAGCCATTGTACTGATCATTTTGAGTCCTTGTTAACACAAATAGAAAATCCAATGCAATGAAATCTATAGTTTTCCGGGTATAGGATACATTTGTAAGACGGATATATTAAATTGTAATCATATTTCAATTACCAAAGATAAATACCGCAATGTAAAGTCTATTGTTACAATCATAAATTTTCGTCGCTGAGGATCAGAAAATACACGATCATAATGTTTCTTGTAGATCAGACCCAATTGGTTTTGGGACCGGATGGTCGAATACTCTTTTATAACACTCAGACAGGAGATATATCAACAGTATGTTCGTACATGTGGAATGATCAAGGTGCTGGCGTTGTTTGTAGACAACTGGGGATGGGAGACAGTGGTACAGCAGTCTATCTTCCAAGAGATCACAACTATACAAGAAATATGTATAGCGTAGAATGCATGGGAGGCGAAAAGAACATGTATGACTGTAACTACCAGGTGACTGACTACTCCGGGTCATGTGAATATGTGTCTGATGCTGGTGTTGAGTGTGCTTCCCAAGGTATGTTATCCTTGAATGTTAAAAGGAAGAATTTTCTTCCGACAATACACTATGTTATTAAGAACTTAGGGTAAATTTGAACAATCAACACAAACAGCGTAAATAATTGAAAATACACTATAAGAGAATGAAAAATAAAAGAATTAACGTATAAACCAGCACATGCATTTCCAGACATAATTCGCATAAGCAAGGGTTTGTATTTTCATATGACATTATAAGTTTACATGTTACTCATCTGCATCGTACACTAAAGAAAGATAACAAAATTTGTTAAACGTTTAGTAGTGTTTACTAGCGATAACGTCATTCAGCAGTAATTCGTTAATTAAGATCAAGAGTACATCGAAAACTGTATGAGATAAGTTCTTTCATATTCGGCGATTGATTCTTAAATGCACATAGAGGGAGACAAATTAAGTAGTGTTGAAGAGGATTGACGTCATTTAGCAAAGTTATTAAGAGTTGTTCCCTCGAAAAAGACATACATCAGTAGGTATTCCACCTTTTACCTAATAGAACAAGGATATGTAATGCTCAAGTACAATAGCATCTTTATTGAAGCTGGTAAAACATTCCGTTTTCAGTAAATTTAAATAGTAGTAGGGTCTTCTTAGACTTACATCTTTAAATTCAATAAAAAGTGATGATTTGAATAATGCCGATAACTTTCAGCTCAAAACGAATTGTCGTTTTGTCTTTTCAGTTACCGTGCGGTGAAAGCCAGAAAAGATTTTACACTAATCAAAGCTAATTATTGTTTATCGAATGGAAGGTATGATATATTTGATTTCTCTTTATAGTTGCAGGTAATATTTCAGTGTTTGTAGGATCTGATGGTCGAGTACTTTTGTCCAACGCAGATACATATAATACTTCATCAATATGTTCCTATAATTGGAACGATCAAGATGCTACAGTTGTATGCAAGCAAACTGGCATGGGAGATATTGGTAAAGCAACATATATCGATCGGGATTACAATTTCAGTAGGAGTATGTTTAACGTTTACTGCACAGGTAACGAAACCGATCTATCAGAGTGTACATATGACACCAGTGACAGTATGGGAATGTGTGATTATGTGCAAGATGCTGGAGTTCATTGCATCGATACAGGTATGTTTTCGTGATAAGTGGTATCTAAACATGACCAATGCCATTATGATTATAAGATTTACAGGCACGAACTTGTTGCTAAAATTTCCGTTGTTCAATTCAAAACCATAAAAAGAAAAACATATTGGAAAAAAGAAGCATCTATCAGTAAGTATACCACCTTTTAATTCCGTGTATAAGAAAAAAAGCCACATACAATGCTCAAGTACAATAATTAAATATATTTCATTTCGTTTGAAATTGGGGTTTTGCCGTTTGCTATTTGTAGGACTTATATATAGATGGGATCTAGTATAACTAGTTCTGCAACAGTATTTACGATTTATAAAATTTAATGTTAGGTGCATAAGGGACGAGAAAAGTTTTGGGCGGTTTCTACGGGTAGGTTTTTATGCTACTATATAAAGTTTGGCATTTACATGTATTAGTATCGAAGGTGCTCGCAGTTACGTCGAATCGAAGATAATCACATGATCATATATACAGTTGCTGCTACGTTAATAACGTGTAATTATAATGTTTTTGAAAGGGAAAAAACTGTACCATTTTAAAAATAAAAAGTATATCGCAAGAAAAATTAATATGTTACTGCGAGAAACTAAGGCTATTTCTGCGTTTGTCTTGTTTATATCCAATTGAATTAAGAGTAGATATACTTTAAATTCAGACAGAAGGGCGAGGGGGAATTTGAAGATAGTAAAATATTAAGTTTTCAGTTTATTCAACTAGTAGTCGGGTATACTTACTTTTACATGTTTAAATTCAATAAAGAGTGATGATTTGAGTAGTGCTGATAATTTTTCAGCTCAAAACGAATTGTCATTTTGTCTTTTCAGTTATTGTGCGGTGATAGCCAGAAAAGATTTTACACTAAATAAAGCTAATTATTGTTTATCGAATGGAAGGTATGATATATATGATTTCTCTTTATAGTTGCAGGTAATATTTCAGTGTTTGTAGGATCTGATGGTCGAGTACTTTTGTACAACGTAGATACTTATAATACTTCATCAATATGTTCCTACAATTGGAACGATCAAGATGCTACAGTTGTATGCAAGCAAACTGGCATGGGAGATATTGGTAAAGCAACATATATCGATCGGGATTACAATTTCAGTAGGAGTATGTTTAACGTTTACTGCACAGGTAATGAAACCGATCTATCAGAGTGTACATATGACACCAGTGACAGTATGGGAATGTGTGATAATGTGCAAGATGCTGGAGTTCATTGCATCGATACAGGTATGTTTTCTTGATGAGTGGTATCTAAATATTAACGATGTTTATAAGAGTTACATAGCTGAAGTTGTTACTAAAATATATGTTGTTCGGATTAACAGAATCATTACAAAAGCCATTGTACTGATCATTTTGAGTCCTTGTTAACACAAATAGAAAATCCAATGCAATGAAATCTATAGTTTTTCGGGTATAGGATACATTTGTAAGACGGATATATTAAATTGTAATCATATTTCAATTACCAAAGATAAATACCGCAATGTAAAGTCTATTGTTACAATCATAAATTTTCGTCGCTGAGGATCAGAAAATACACGATCATAATGTTTCTTGTAGATCAGACCCAATTGGTTTTGGGACCGGATGGTCGAATACTCTTTTATAACACTCAGACAGGAGATATATCAACAGTATGTTCGTACATGTGGAATGATCAAGGTGCTGACGTTGTTTGTAGACAACTGGGGATGGGAGACAGTGGTACAGCAGTCTATCTTCCAAGAGATCACAACTATACAAGAAATATGTATAGCGTAGAATGCATGGGAGGCGAAAAGAACATGTATGACTGTAACTACCAGGTGACTGACTACTCCGGGTCATGTGAACATGTGTCTGATGCTGGTGTTGAGTGTGCTTCCCAGGGTATGTTATCCTTGAATGTTAAAAGGAAGAATTTTCTTCCGACAATACACTATGTTATTAAGAACTTAGGGTACATTTGAACAATTCAACACAAACAGCGTAAAGAATTGAAAATACACTATAAGAGAATGAAAAATAGAAGAATTAACGTATAAACCAGCACATGCATTTCCAGACATAATTTGCATAAGCAAGGGTTTGTATTTTCTTATGACATTGTAAGTTTACATGTTACTCATCTGCATCGTACACTAAAGAAAGATAACAAAATTTGTTAAACGTTTAGTAGTGTTTACTTGCGATGACGTCATTCAGCAGTAATTCGTTATTTAAGATCAAGAGTACATCGAAAACTGTATGAGATAAGTTCTTTCATATTCGGTGATTGATTCTTAAATGCACATAGAGGGAGACAAATTAAGTAGTGTTGAAGAGGATTGACGTCATTTAGCAAAGTTATTAAGAGTTGTTCTCTCGAAAAAGACATACATCAGTAGGTATTCCACCTTTTACCTAATAGAACAAGGACGTGTAATGCTCAAGTACAATCACATCTTTATTGAAGCTGGTAAAACATTCCGTTTTCAGTAAATTTAAATAGTAGTAGGGTCTTCTTAGAGTTACATCTTTAAATTCAATAAAGAGTGATGATTTGAATAATGCCGATAACTTTCAGCTCAAAATGAATTGTCGTTTTGTCTTTTCAGTTACCGTGCGGTGAAAGCCAGAGAAGATTTTACACTAATCAAAGCTAATTATTGTTTATCGAATGGAAGGTATGATATATTTGATTTCTCTTTATAGTTGCAGGTAATATTTCAGTGTTTGTAGGATCTGATGGTCGAGTACTTTTGTACAACGCAGATACATATAATACTTCATCAATATGTTCCTACAATTGGAACGATCAAGATGCTACAGTTGTATGCAAGCAAACTGGAATGGGAGATATTGGTAAAGCAACATATATCGATCGGGATTACAATTTCAGTAGGAGTATATTTAACGTTTACTGCACAGGTAACGAAACCGATCTATCAGAGTGTACATATGACACCAGTGACAGTATGGGAATGTGTGATTATGTTCAAGATGCTGGAGTTCATTGCATCGATACAGGTATGTTTTCGAGATATATAAAGTGGTATCTAAATAAGATACAGAACTGAAGATGTTGCAAAAATTTCCGTTGTTCAATTTAAAACCAAAATAAGAGAAGCTATTGTTCAGATTAGTTTGAGTCACTGTTTAAACAAATAGCCAATTCAATGCAATGTAATCTATAATATTTAGCAAGAAAATACATATAGGTCAGTATGCACAATTAATTTCAGGTAGGCGGTAATGGTAGCAGTTTCTGCAATTCCTCTGCCAACATCGAAAATTTGGATATGTATGATTGCACGTTTCGAAACTTAGACATTTTCATATACCAGTTTAAATTTTCGAGATACGAAGTGAGATTCATTTTTTCATAATTTAGAATACCCTGAAGAGACCTTTTTGATGAGACTTCTCGAGTAAAACATTCTCTTTATAATTTCTTCGAAAATTTCAAATTAACAGTTGTTTTCTATTCGTTTGATGTGTTTGAGCTTTTGATTTTGCCATTTGATAAGGGACTTTCCGATTTGAATTTTCCTTGGAGTTCGGTATTTTTGTTATTTTACTTTTTAATACATTGGATAACTTCATAATTCTATGGTCCTCTGTTCTGAAAGTCAGCACAGATGGTTAAGCTCAGTCTTTTGGCGTGTACATTTCACATATTGGAAGATTTGCTAGAACATGTTCAAATGAAGTTTAGCTTGAAGTGCATAAACACGAAAATAAAGTTTACAGGGTTACATATACAAAAGGTATTTGAATATTTTAAAAGGTTTTGATGTCGTTATCAGCATTTGTCTTTACAAATGCTTCTAGTAGAACAAGTAAAAAAACAGCTGTCATATTCCCGACTTGGTACAGGCATTTTCCGAAGAAAATGGTGGGTTAAAAATGGTTTTATAGCTATATGAACCTCCCACCAGCCAAAACTGTGTAACATACATCACAGACATACAACATAACTGACTTAAAATTCAAAGAAACCTATAAATAAATCTAACAAAGACGCTAACAAAAAGGTTTTGTAGTTGATGGTAGACTGACAAAGACGCCGATAAAATAGTTTTTGTAGTTGATAGTACATAACGTATATATTATACACTTTCTCGATAAAGTACAAATTAAGTAAAATATAAATACAATGTAAACAAGACGACTACAGCTCTGCGTCCGAATCGTACCTCAGGACCCAACTGCACCGGGAATGACCCAAGGGATAAATCCAATAGATCCTCTTGTATCATTTGTGAAGTAGACACTGAATATTTGTCTATTAGATTTTTGTACTTTCCGATGAATTTTTGAGAAAAAGGGCGAGACGTTCTTTGACAAAACCCTGGCTCATTAATGTTTTGCTCAGACACCGATGAAGTTTGAGCAGCAGCTCTTGAAAATCGTATTAGTTGAGAAATGTATACTCCATACACAGTTGAAGATGATATATTGCTGCTAAGGTGAGGAAAATTTAAAATTTTAAAATTGAAATCGTCTCATTTGTCATAGATTATTGTACTGAGATGACAGCTGTTGTCAATTTGGAGGTAAATGTCTAGAAATGAGGCGGAAGAAGCTGTATCTGTGATTTCTTTAATTCTTAGTTCGGTAGGATATATTAATGGATATATTACAACCCCATGTTGTGCCGGTATTAAATCACGCTATTTGGATTATGGGTTCTGTGTTGTTGTCTGTCTTTGTTTATACGTATATTTTCTCAGAGCAGTCGGATTGCAGATATGAAAAGTCTAGATTGTGAAAGAGGAGACTTAATCAAACAAAATCCAGGTTTTTAAATTCTTTTCTTTAAAATGTGATTGTGTCTCAAAAAAATAATACTAATAAAAGGACAGAACAAACAACAAAGTAATGATAATTGAAAATAACATTTAATAAATCTGTAACAGCGCTTTTCTGAATTTACCTTCATCGGCAAAACCAAAACATTGAAAGTCAAGGAAGTATAAACAGGTTAAAACGTGAGGAACTAAACGACCAAAATAATTTTAAAATAGGATAGCTAAATCCATCTAAAGTCAACATTGCATGAGCGAGTTGAAAGTTTTATTTTCTTGATAATTTTCAAATCAAGGAACGGAGTATTTAAGAAAGGGTATGTTAACTAATCATGTCAGAGATTCACTGAGTTTATGATATTATGGGGAACTTCCGCGCCACCAGCAGAGGTGTCGAGTTAATGAAAATAACACTTTATTATGTTGCGTCCTTATCGATTTTCATGATTTACCTTCATCAGAAACGCTCAAATAAAAAAAAACCAAGCCAAGGATGTATAAACACTTGAAAATGTGAGGAGCTTTATGACTATGAAAGAACCTAATATAATTGCCAAATCCATCCTCGGTCTACTTATGACTAAGGATATTGGAAACTTACTTTTATATTATTTAACAGTGACATCCTGGTCCCTTATATTATCAAAAAGTTTCATTCTCTTTAATGCTTATACAAAATATGTTAACTTAAATGATAAATGATTATGATAATATACTCTTGTAACTTTAGTGCAACCATATCATTTTTAATGCCACTGTGATGTCATTAACATGTTTTAATAGACATATTCGACCACAACTTACCATCTTAGACATACAGGTTTTATATACATGTAATAATTAGTAACAAAACCACAAAAAAATCTTTCAAGAAAATAATCATCATTGTATGAGACATTTTGTAGAAAAAATTAAAGCTTGAAGCTGGGTTGGTATCTGTTCGTATGGTTATGAAGATCTAAAATGAGTTAATCTTTACAGTTTCTCTATTTACGCAAACAATAAGACAGTAATTCAAATTTAATATTTCGGATCTGACAGATTTATATGAATGAATGAATGAATAAATAGTTTATTAGAAAGAAGTAAAATCACAAAAATACTGAACTCCGAGGAAAATTCAAAACGGAAAGTCCCTAATCAAATGGCAAAATCAAATGATAAAACACATCAAACGAATGGACAACAACTGTCATATTCCTGACTTGGTACAGGCATTTTCAAATGTAGAAAATGGTGGATTGAACCTGGTTTTATAGCGCTAAACCTCTCACTTGTATGACAGTCGCATCAAATTCTATTATATTTACAACGATGCGTGAACAAAACAGACATAATAGGTAACATTGTCAAAATATGGGTACAGTAGTCATCACTGTCTCACAATCTCAAAACAAACAAACATTTAACAAAGAATCACAAAAAGCATCTATCAAATTTAACAACTACATTCATTGCTTACTTATATATGTATTATTAATCAACCCATAAAGGATTGAAATATTTAAAGTCCTGTGACTGCATTCACATCTACTCTTAGTGTAAAGTCGCGCGTTTGACGCCAGAAAATGTAAACGTCACACAGGAAGAAATATAAAATAATTTTGTCGTTCAAAGTATTTTCAAAAACTATAAATTCATATGGGGAATGGTGGTATACAGGGTTGAAAAATCAAAAGTTTTTGTTAGAACTAATTTCAGAAAAAGACCGAGATTTAAAATTATCCAGAAATTCTTTAGAATTTTTAAGAATCCACATATGGTTAATACCACTACGCGAGTAAAATAATTTTGTCGTTCAAAGTATTTTCAAAATTATAATAGAACAATGACATAATGGTATTATAAGAATCCGGGTCCGTTCGCCCTGATTCGAGTTCGCCCTAGTACCTGTTCGCCATAATACCTGTTCGCCCTGGGTCCGTTCGCCCTAATTCCTGTTCGCACTGAGTCCGTTCGCCCTAATTCCTGTTCGCACTGAATCCGTTCGCCCTGATTTCTATTTTCTAAAGTTTGTAGAAATTCCGCCGAAATATTTGGTCAGATCATACGTTTTCGTACGTCTTATGAATTCGTACTATGCATGCGTTTTCAATGGAAATTGTGACGTCACAATGCATTCTTAATAGCACGAAAACCCATGAGACGAGGATTTATGTTGTATTGATGCTACCAGATAAGGATTTTTCTTTTGATTTGCATTGAATATTCTTGCAAGAATATTCATCATCTTGAATGTGGACAGTATTTTGAAGAAGAAGAAGAAGAAGTGTTCAGGAACTGGAGACCAAAAAGTTATCTGTATGAATTTATCTTTTTTGAAACCTTGTAACAATTTCAAAACAATCCAAACAGGTATAACAAGATCCAACTCACTCAACACCTTGAGATCAAAGAAGCCAATTAAGCGGCGAAAACAATTTCCCTTTAATGTCTTACAATTCTTACATCATTGTTTTAACTCATTCCAAGCTGACTTTTTTATTTGAATAAACCAATTTCATTATTAATCCACCAAAAATAATAACTACAACAATCAGTGAGACCAAAGACATCGTAATCATATCTAATCAGCATTCTAAATAACAAAACTTTGAATTTCCGGAATACAAAGGCTTTTCCACCTCAGAAATATATTACCTTAGCTGTATTTGGCAAAACTTTTAGGAACTTTGGGTCCTCAATGCTCTTCAACTTCGTACTTTATTTGGCTTATTAACTTTTTTGATTCGAGCGTCACTGATGAGTCTTTTGTAGACGAAACGTGTGTCTGGCGTACAAAGTTTCAATCTTGGTATCAATGATGAGTTTATTTTCAATCAACAGTCATTAAAAGTAATTCTGAATAAAAACAAATGTAACAATGAAGCCAATTAGCCTGATTTATGCTCCAAAACAAAAATTTTTTTTTTTAATTTCAATGTTTATTCATGCATTTGGAGATATATTTTTTTAATATTTACCATTCACATATCTGAATAAGATTACAAAACTTTAAATTAAACCATTAATATTATTTTTTTTATAAAAATTAGGGCGAACGGACCCAGGGCGAACATGTAATTAGGGCGAACGGACCCGATACCGTATTATAACAGAACAATAAGTACAGAGCCACGTCATATGTACCAAAGAAACACATAAAGTCACACGCACAAAACACACCAGCAAAAAAGGAGGACAACACAAACACATTGACGGGATGTATAAGTACCGAGCCACGTCAAATGAACATCACAAAAAAAATAGACCAAACAGTAAAAGTAATATTAATAATAGAACAAAGACAAATAAAAGAACAATATAACACGTTATTAAGATGATAAGCAACGTCAGTACGCAGAATCTATACATCAAGACCATCATGTACTATTTGTGAACTTGATACGAAATATTTATCAACAAGGTCTTGGTACCTTCCGATGAACTTTTTTTAGAAGAAGGACGAGACGTTCTTTGACATACCCCTGGTTTATCAACTTTCTGCTCAGACACTGGTGACGTTTTACAAAGTCTGAGTAGGAGCTGCAAGCTCTTGAATATCGAATAAGTTGAGAAATGTATATCCCATATGCAGGTGAAGTTGGTATATTGCTACTAAGGTGGGGGAAATTGATAATTTCAAAATTAAAATCGTCTCGTTTGTCATAGATTCTGGTACTGAAATGACTGTGTATGTCAAATTCGAGGTATAAGTCTAAAAATGAGGCGGAGGAAGTCGTGTCTGTTGTTTCTTTAATTTCTAGTTCTGGGGGATATATTAATGGAACCCAATCGGAAAAGTTCGGATTGTTAATGGAAAGAACATCATCAATATATCTGAAAGTGAAACTAAATAATCTGGCTTCCTTGATATTCTTGTTTTTGACAAGTGTCTGAAGGAACTCCGATTCATATGAAAATAAGAAGAGGTCGGCAAGGAGAGGCGCACAGTTCCTTCCCATAGGAATGCCGAAATGTTGAAAAAGTCTACCTCCAAATTCAACAAATATGTTGTCGATAAGAAACTCCAGCATACTGATCGCTTGTTCCTCTAAGAGTGCAAGCTGAATATATACAATATAATGTACATTGAGTATTAGCATACTGATTCAGCCAGCGAAATAAGTTTATGATGCTCTATCATGTTTTAACTTTATATATGACAGATATAAGAAAATGAGTTCAAAATTGTAACAATTGAATGTAGACATGCGTATTGTCTTTACTTTGATATTTACAATAGACAGATTAATCAGTTATAGATAGTCCCGTCTTATGTTGGAGCATTCTAAAATAAAGTTTGCTACAAATTTACTATTTGCATTAAAGAGTACTGTAATGGCTTCGTTTGGAGAGAGTTCGTCAACGTTTACTGTGTGAATAGATAGTAACTCGTGGAACAGATTGTTTCTTGCATCAATATAACGGTCACAATAGATGAGGAAATGTGTTTCGTCTTCAGCCGAACCTAAACCACACAATTTACAAAAACGTAGATAAACTGGAATGTTTCTGTAAAGACCTAGTTCAACTTCTAATTGAAAGGTTCCAGAGCGAATCCTTGCAATTGCTGAACGTTGTACTCTTGATAAATGTCTTTTTACGTATGCTTCCGTTAAGAATTCACATTTAAAATATCTATACGTTCTCAGTTTTGGCATTGTACGCACTTCAGTTATCCACCTATCTCTTAAGTCATCTACGCATTTACTTTTGGCTGTTTCTATCACGCACGTAGTTGTAGAAATTTTGTCGCTACTGTAGTTAATCAAATGCGTAAGATTACAAGTGTTTAAAATTATCTCGATACTGTTAAATCAGGTATTCTTGTAGCGTGTAGAGGTTTCAACGTCCCAACGGAACACTTTCAGCAAAGTCTATAGTCTGACATTTTCATGAGGCGACACAACAGGCGTATCGCATAACACTGTGTATGAATATATATTCGAAGCCTTCCTATATCCCCCAAAGCAGCAGGAAACAAAGCGCATTTGCTAATGCCAAGGAATATCCTTATTGCTCTGTATTGTAATCTCTCCAGTGAGTCATAGCGCTTTTTACCTTATACTCCAGACGCATAATCCATAACTGGGATTACATATCTTTGTGTATATATCGAAGTCTATATTTCCCATATGCAAGAATTTGGATATAAACGAACCCAATGATCTGCTAGATGCCGCTAACAGCTCATTAACAGAAACCTTAAAGTCAATGTTTTCGGATAGTGTAAGACCAAAATAACGGTACTTTCTAACGTAATCTAGTTCCTTTTGTCCCAGTCTAAACACAACATCTGATCTACTGGCAGATGCCTTACGAACATGCATGGTTTTTTTTTTTTCAATGTTCACATTAAGGAGATTTTTCTTTGTCCAATCATGTAGAACGTTGAGCTGAGACTGTTAGCATTCACTTGAGTCCAAAATGAGAAAGACGTTATCCGCGTAGAATAAACAACTAAGCATGTCGTTTCCGACAAATACTCCTTGCGAAAGACCTTTAATAAGCGGCAATTAATTTTTAATAAATAATGCAATGTTACCATGAATTCCCACACAAAACTTATATCTTGTGAATAGCTCTTTAGTGTTTATAATATTTCGTGACATTTGATTTCAAGGGGCCTAAAAGTGACCTTGTTATGTCTGGTTCGTTCATGACAAAATACCAACAAAACGAAATTACCAAGGCATGCAACTATGTAAGGAACATATCCTGTCCTCTGTTCTGTCTCGTTATTTTTTTTAGAATCTATGTCACTTTATTAAGTCGATAGTAACTTACTATTCAACTTTAAATGTATGATCTGTTTTCACAGAGGGATGCTATTTTGAAAAAAAAAAGAGATGAAAATATTTGTATTTCAAATAAACCACTTGTATAATCAAATGATTCTTTGATATTTGGTCATATCTAAGACTTTTCAAGTGAAGCATGAGCAAACTCCATACCGTATAGTCAGCTATAACAGGCCCCGTGTTGACGAAAGGTGAAACGATTGAATCACGAAAAATAGCGGCCTGATTTTTGAAAAAAAAACTAAACTAAAAACAGATATAACAGAAAGCAACACACGACAACAACTGAATTACAGGCGTCTGGCTTAGCATTCACATACAGAATGTGGCGGTGTTTAACATGTTTGTAAGCGCTCAACCCTCCCCTTACCCGGGACCATGGAATAACAGCATAACATAAGAACAAAGAGTTAAAAAGAAGTTGGAATGGCTTGACTCAACAAATCTACAAAAAAAAACTACTAACATGAAAACAAAAGCCACAAATTACCGATCTAGGAGTACTCGCTGTTACTGAAAGCAGGTTTAAAGTCATTAACAACTAATAAATTATTATGTTCTCACAGTCTAAAGTATAAATCGGTACACATCTAACTGATTTAGATTAAGAACTTTAAAAAAGTCTGAGAAGTTTACGTTTCATTTTAAGCAATTTAATTTTCTTACAGATTAGCTGCTTTTTAATTACTGTACCAGGTTTTTGGTTTTGGGTTTAGCAGTATGATCTTTTACTAGAGAAGTTTCTTTTAGGGCTAAAACGTAGTTGAAGGGAATTTCGTATAATGCATATTCAAAATTCATCAAAACAGTATACTTCATAAGTAATTTATGAGATGGTAATCACCACTGACTAGATAGTTATACATTCTGTGTGTGGAATTGACAGTAAGAAGTTGTTTTGCTTTGAGTGCATTTTAAACTAAAAGGTGACAAAAGAGGTGTTTGTTCTCACATTGTTACAGGTATGGCGTATTTATTCTTCAGATAAATTCTTTTCGCTTTATTCGTATTTTATAATATTCAGTTGATCGAATTGATTATCCTCTTAATAAACTATTTATTTTGGTTTAAGTAAAATGCAAAATACTATAGATAATTGTCATTTTTTAAATTTTTTTTTATGTTTCAGATTCTACCTCTTCTATGTCTACTGAAGTAAATTCAAACGGTTATGTCAGTATAACTGAAAACACATTAGCATTAGAGCCGACCTCTGAACCAAGTTTGTAGCAAAGTAGTCCAAACCATGTGTCAAATGTAATAAAGACACATGAAACACTACCTTCAGCTGATGCATTTTCTGTAACCACCGAAGAGTATAACAGCCGTTCAACCTCAAAGGATATCCTCGGAAATTCAACAACATATGATTTGTTTACAAGAAATCTGGGACCAAGCACAGAACAATTACCAAACAAAACCGATTTAGATATTTCGACCACTAAATTAACTGACCATTTGGATATAACAACCTCTGCGACAAACCAAGCTTATAAGACACCCCACATAGATGATACTAGCAGCATGTACATAACCTCTGCGACAAACAAAGATTATACGGGACCGTACATAGATGGTACTAGCGGCATGGAAATTACAACATCTGCGACAAACAAAGATTATACGGGACCGTACATGGATGGTACTAGCGGCAGGGAAATTACAACCTCTGCGACAAACAAAGATTATACAGGACCGTTCATAGATGGTACTAGCGGCATGGAAATTACAACATCTGCGACAAACAAAGATTATACGGGACCGTACATAGATGATACTAGCAGCATGGACATAACCTCTGCGACAAACAAAGATTATACGGGACCGTACATAGATGGTAATAGCGGCATGGAAATTACAACTTCTGCGACAAACAAAGATTATACGGGACCGTACATAGATGGTACTAGCGGCATGGCAATTACAACATCTGCGACAAAAGAAGATTATACGGGACCGTACATAGATGGTACTAGCGGCATGGAAATTACAACTTCTGCGACAAACAAAGATTATACGGGACCGTTCATAGATGGTACTAGCGGCATGGCAATTACAACATCTGCGACAAACAAAGATTATACGGGACCGTACATAGATGGTACTAGCGGCATGGAAATTACAACCTCTGCGACAAACAAAGATTATACGGGGTCGTACATAGAGGGTACTAGCGGCATGGAAATAACATCCTCTACGACAAACAAAGATTATACGGGACCGGACATAGATGGTACTAGCAGCATGAAAATTACTAATACCACGACCCCTGTTGCTGCCTCAGCAAATAGTGCATCAGGTTGCGATATAAACTCGAACTGTTTTAACTCAGGATGTAAGTATTATGTCTTTTATATTGTAGATATATTCAATATCCAAATTACCTTAAAGATAAATCGGAAAACGATGTTTTTTGTTTAGTTGTTTATATCTTTCCTCTATTCTATTGCACCAACTGTCGGTATATTCCTTAACATTGTGCTAAACAATTCATAACCTAGCAATTCTTGCCACCTTAAAAAAAAAGTGCATATATCTGAGACTGACATTCTGTGTCTAAACCACTGCATTTTCAGTTCACATTACGCAGATACACAGATCACGCATTTGACACTGAAAAAGTTATATCATTGATGCACTTGTAAGTTTTTCCAAAGCGTTATTTACTTGCGAAGTTTATGATTATTTTGATTTCAATTAGAAGAAGATTAACCAATCATCTTTAGCTGAGATGGAAAACTTTATGACAAAAAAGTTTCCCAATTCCCTTTAAAAGTAGTCACATGCAGTATTTAAGATACAGTAAGATTCAGGCTTTTTGATGTATTTTCTGTTATGAAATCATAGATTTCTAAAAAGAGAGATAAGATACCAAGGGGACATTCAAAATTCATAAGTCGGAAAGAAACTGACAACGCCGTGGCCAAAAAAACAAAAGACGACGAAAAGACAGACAAGTCAACAAAACCCTATATAGAGAATTAAATATTGAGTAACACGAACTACACCAAAAAACTGGATAGTTTAAAGTAATAAAAGATGTCCCATATCTCCTTTATTAACGTATTTCCCAAACGTTGGTAAAGACCTTAGTATATTTCTAATTAAGGTCTCCTACGTTGGAAAAAACCTTATTGTTTTTCTAATGTTTTTTTTTTTTTTTTAAAGTTAAATTTGGACCATCGATACACCTCACCATGGAGTATTACCAGATGATCCTGTGAAGGATTTCATTATCCCCTTTAGAAGTTATCTCACTTTTATTTTTTCGAAATCCCCCTCCCTCGTTGTTTTTTAAGATAGCATGACCTTATTTGGACAATAGGTAGATCTCATCATGAAGTATTAACAGATGACCCTGCATAGGATTTCATCATCCCCATTTAGAGTTATATCCCCTTGAAACAATTTCTTTTATCTGCATATATCTTTAAAAGTGTTACAGCTATAATCGATCTGGAAATGGCAACATGTACAGGAACAGAAGGCAATGTTGATTAACATTAACAATAGGTGTGTTATCAACCCTTATAAGAGTTATTTCTCTTTATATATTATACACAATTTTTGAAAAATTAAATTTCGAGAACCGGAAGTCGTAGAGACATGGGACCTTCGCCAATAATCTTAAGTTCATGCGACCTTTCATTTGCAACCAAGGTCAAAGGTCATAGAGTGTAAAAAGTTTTTAAGTTTAAATTTCAAACTTGAATGTTAAGAAAACGATGGGAGATAGCTGCAAATACACAGCATATAAATGTTCCTCTCGAAGAGCTCTACATTTTATACATTAGACCCGAAACTGGGGCAAACATTTCTGAATCAACAACAGCCACCTGAATTTTTTTAGAAATTTAAGAGTTTATTATGACTATTGAACAGCGGTATACTACTGTTGCCTTTATTTAACATGGTTATATGTTTGACTAAATAACAAAAACATTTGACAAAAAACAAAGTAAAAATTAGCAGTTTGAATTTTTCATGTTTTACATTGACTTTGTTAGTTTGATAAGTTCTATTTATCAAATTGATATTGCATCATTGTTTGGACTTTGCCAAATGGGGTCATGTGACATATCACATTGAACGTCTAAATGAGTTCTATTCAAAAATGAAAATGTCAAACCCCCTTTTTCATCCTAAAGAGAAGGGTGTGCTCATTAAGTGCAAAAATTAAAACTTCTAAGATGGCACGGTTATCGCATAACAAATGAAAGTCCATAAAATGTACATATCAAAGAAGCCAGGTTATTTAATTTCACTTTCAGATATATTGATGATGTTCTTTCCATTAACAATCCGAACTTTTCTGATTGGGTTCCATTAATATATCCACCAGAACTAGAAATTAAAGAAACAACAGACACGGCTTCCTCCGCCTCATTTTTAGACTTATACCTCGAATTTAACATACACAGTCATCTCAGTACCAGAATCTATGACAAACGAGACGATTTTAATTTTGAAATTATCAATTTCCCCCACCTTAGCAATATACCAACTTCACCTGCATATGGGATATACATCTCCCAACTTATTCGGTATTCAAGAGCTTGCAGCTCCTACTCAGACTTTGTAAAACGTCACCAGTGTCTGAGCAGAAAGTTGATGAACCAGGGGTATGTCAAAGAACGTCTCGTCCTTTTTCTAAAAAAGTTCATCGGAAGGTACCAAGACCTTGTTGATAAATATTCCGTATCAACTTCACAAATAATACACGATGGTCTTGAAGTATAGATTCTGCGTACTGACGTTGTTTATTATCTTAATAACGTGTTATAGTATTCTTTAATTTGTCTTTATTAATATTACTTTTACTGTTAAGTCTGTTTTTTGAAATATCCATTTGACGTGACTCTGTACTTATTTTTCCCGTCATACTTTGAACGACACAATTATTTTATTTATTAATATTGCTTTTACTGTTAAGTCTGTTTTTTGTGATACACATTTGACGTGACTCTGTACTTATGTATCCCGTCATACTTTGAACCACAAAATTATTTTATTTATTAATATTACTTTTACTGTTAAGTCTGTTTTTTGTGATATCCATTTTACGCGACTCTGTACTTATGTATCCCGTCATACTTTGAACGACAAAATTAATTTATGTCTACCTGTGCGAATTTTAAAACGCGCGATTTTACGCCAGTACTTAATACATTCCATCCTTTATGGGTGGATTTTACATAGATAAATAAAATCATATAATAAAAAAGCAAAATGAGGATGTTAAATTTGATGTATGCCTTTTTGTTCTTCTTCGTTACATTTGTTTGTTTTTATAGTGATTAAGATGATAACACAATGTTGACTGCTGTACCCTTATTTTTGACATTTTTACCTATTGTGTCTGTTTGTTTTGTTCACGCATCGTTGTCAATATAATGGAATTTGATGCGACTGTCATACAAGTGAGAGGTTTAGCTAGCTATAAAACCAGGTTCAATCCACCATTTTCTACATAAGAAAATGCCTGTCCCAAGTCAGGAATATGACAGTTGTTATCCATTCATTTGATGTGTTTGAGCTTTTGATTTTGCCATTTGATTAGGGACTTTCCTTTTTGAATTTTCCTCGGAGTTCAGTATTTTTGTGATTTTACTTTTTTCAAATATCAAATTTTTTTCCCGAAAAGTGGGTTGGGTTGCAAAAAAATAATTTTCTATAAAGGTAAGGTTGTCGCCTATCAATTGAAAGGTCGTAATGTGTACATTTCAAATATCAGACTTTTAAAGGGATCTTAAGTGCAAAAAAACTTCCTAGAAGATGGTGTTGTCGCATATTAAATTAAAGGTCATCAAGTCTACATTACAAATTTCATACTTCTGATCTCGTAAATTTAGGTGGATAGGATCATAGAGTGCGAAAAGTGAAGAGTTTAAGAAGGTACGATTGTCGCATATCAAATGAAAGGTCGTAAAGAGTACATTACAAATATCAGACTTTTAAGGGAAAGACCTTTCAATTGTTTTACAAACAATTGAGATACTAGTTCATTTTAATGTTCGAGCAATACTAATTGCATGGATCTTTGTTTTAACGATGGGTATATATTAAGAAAATAATATTGTTATTTTTATTCACAGGTGACGATCAAAAAAGATTCCACAGCATTACTACTATGCTACTACTATTACTAGTAGCTAGCCTTGCATCGAAGTACTGTTAAGTTTTCAATCTTGTCAGATTGTCTTTTCTGTGATATATCTTTTCTAGTGCCT